CCCACTCCTGGGGTGTGGTGGTCGGGTCGAACGTCGAGGGGTCAAATGTTGGTATGGAGGGGAGGTTTTGGTAGGTGTACAGATCTGAGCTTGGGAGTGTGGAGTGGGAGGGAACGACGGGAGGTGTTATGATGGAATCTGCGATGACAGAGTCGTTATAGACTGGACGGTGGGTAGGGACGATGGGCGGGTTGAGGAGGGGTTGCGGGTTGGCGGGTACGACAAAGGCCGAGTCTTCGACGTTGTTGTAGGTATCAAAGGACGAATGGAAGCCGCTCATCGTGTCGTCGGTAGAGAGACTGTTGTCCATGTAACAGGTGCTATCTCCAATTTCATTCGACAGTTGCAAAAGGAATGTGTTGAGGTCGTTGAGGTGTTCAACGGGTTGGGTGTCAAGAGGAGGTAAGGCACCGGTGGTATCATCAAAAAGAAACGTGGCCATTTCATCCAGACGTTGCGCCATGTCGGCGTCGTAAGTGGTGGAGAGGCGCTTCTTTTTAAAGTCGCTCATAAATTCGTCGACAATGTCATATCCGCGTTTTCCATTCAGGGGCATGGGCGTCACGTCGTTTATCCCGCCTGGAATCCCACTGTTTAGGTCCCCATTCAGGTCTCCATTGAAATTCCCATTGTAATGGAACTCGGGGTGATCAAACAAGAGATTTTGATCCGAGGGTATGCTGCCAAAGATCACATCGTCTGCAGGGGAGAGTGCCGACTGGGGCGAGAACTCTCCTGCCGTTCCTGAATGCGGGGAACAGCCTTGCATATCGGACCACGTTGTTTCCGAGTATGGGGAAAAGGGCGAGTGTTTGGGAGTGTCCATGGTCGGGTGACGTGGAGAGCCGTCTAATGAACCGGCCGGTGAAAACGAGGGAGAGCGCTCTGACTTGACAATGGAGCGGCCACTGCTTCTTCTGCGCATGGAAGCCATCGGACGTGGCACGCGCAGTTGTGAGTCGAGGAATGCATGGTCCTGACCCATAAGAGCAGCGTCCTCGTGAAGTTTGTCGTGTTTCTTCTTGTCCTGCGGGCGCTTGAAAGCCCTTCCACAAATCTACTACACTATCAGCACACCGACCACACATTCGCACACTGATATAGTTGCATCTTACCTCGCAAACGTGGGGCTTGAGTGGGACATGGACTCGTAGATGACTTGTAATATGGTCCCTCTTTGTGGTTTGAACGTTGCAGTCCTCCCAGTGACAGTCGAGACAGAGGTTGTTTGTGGCTTTTCTGCCAATGTGCTCGTTGGTGAGGTGAGTATAGAGGGCTTCAGCGTCACTAAATGTCTCTGAGCATGGAGGAAGCGACCAGCGACACTGATGCTGTTGGAATGTTGCTGACGGCGGTGGGGACGGCAGTTGCGGCATGGTAGGTGTGTGCAGACAATGTCGTGGGCAGTAAGAGTGATAGTTGAAAATAAAAAGCTTAAGCTAATGCCAAGGTCTGTTATTGCCTTCCTCCGTTATTGTTGCTTTGTAGATTTGTTTGAGTGTGTAAAAGAGTAGGTGCGTTGTAATATGTGGCGGCTGTGATGCCAAGAAATTAGAAAGCCTATTAATAGGAAAACGCGATTTGATTTTGAGACTGATTATTTTTGAAAGCATAAAGGCATAAAAGGGAGGAGCTTTTAGAAGGATTGAAGGAATTCGGCATAGCAATTCAAGCAAGAGATTAGAGTGTTGCAGTGATTTTCTTGTAGGAACTCTTTACAGAACAAAGACAAAGTGGATATCCTAAAAGCTACCATGACGCTTTCCTTTCTGCATCAACAAGATCGCATATGCTGAAGCTTCAGTTCCCATTCCTTTATTTCTTCTTGCAGCTCCTTTAGTTTTTCTTCTTGTAATTCCAACTGATTCTCGTTGTATTGCCTTTGCTTTGCCAAACACTGCTCGAGTTTAAAGGTATAGAACGCTTGCAGGGTTGCTGCTTCATCCAACGCTAGATGACATTTAAGTGTTAGTTACCATTGCAACAGTCAATGACGTGCGCCCTTACCAGGTTTTGGTTCAGAAGCCCTGGTTGATTCCTCGTAAGAGGGCAGCGAATCTCCTAAATAACAAGTCAACATAATGCAAAAGCGTACCTAGTATGGCACTCCCACATACCACTGGACGCATCTGTGAAAATATCTGCGGTTTGCATGTTTAAGGCTTTTCGATCAAACGGGGAGGAAAGTTATGCTACCCTTTTTATGTTCAAAAACCCAAGCAATTCTGGAAACTGCCACGTTGCAGTCATATACTATAAAAAAGTCTTTCAGTCACATTGTCTTGATTGATTTCACACCCCCACCGTATTAGCAAATAAGCCTGGGGATTTCTAACAAACTATAGATGGACTATTGGGGACACCTTATTCAGACATCAAGACATGGAAAAGTATCTAATAGGAGACAGAAATAGGAGACACGATCGGATAACTGGTTATTTTTGGATCGTTAATGGTAGACAATCCAGTCCCACCCGCTCCAGGCCAGAGCATTCGTCCTTCGCAGAGGGAAAACCAAGGGTTTTTATTTTGAAAAAAAATTCCAGTTTTTTGTATTTGCGGATGTGCTAAAGGATACTGTTCCTTCATCTCCACAGGACAAGACATCGAATGAAGAGTAAAAACAAGGATACTAAATGATATCCTGAAGTGTTAGTGTTGCATTGTGTTGCAAGGTCGCATCCCTGTCCCACGGCATGAGTCCAACCCCTTTCCAACCACAGAACGGGCATGGACTTTCGTCCCATCTCTTCGTGTATTGGCATCTCTGACCTTGTCCCCGCCTACATTTGCTTACCTGATCTTAGAAGTGATCGACAGTCATGTGACTGTACATTCCATTTCATCCCGGGTAGCAGGGCTTCTGCTGTGCTAGCCAAGCCATTTCCATTGCTTGAGCGGATTTTTTCAGAGTTTTTGGGAATTGCTTGAAGGCATAAAGGCATAAAAGGAGGAGCTTTAGAGAATTGGAAGATGGGATTCGGCAAAGCAAATCAAGCAAGAGATTAGAGTGTTGATGCAATGTTCTTTGTAGGAACTTTTACTGTGTAGGAAAGCAAAGGGAATGTCTTTGTAAATCAATCACTATATAGTAGATTTTGAGATACGCTATATGGCATCACTGTGTGGTAGATTTTGAGACATGCAAAGGGGGAGATGGCGATTTTCCACGCGTTACTAGGAACCGGGCATGCTCAAGTTGAAGTTGCAGCCGCTTGGTTTTCTCCCGCTCCATCTCCTTGACCTTTTCCAAATCAATCTCGGCTAGCCGCACCCTTTCAGTCGTCATGCTTCGTTGCTCCATTTTGTACGATTGGAGCGATGTCCCTTCAGTAAATGCTAGATGCCATTAAGTTTCTAATTGCTATAGCAACATTATGAACTTCTCATGATGCGCGCTTACCAGGTTTTGTTGCAGTCACAGTCGAGGCAGTGCCCAAGCGCGAGATAGTCGACTTTTGATAGGACGGAGCCATATCTTTTGGAGAAGCGTTGTCTAAATCGCGCAGACCACAAGTCAGCGCAATGCAAAAACACAGCCGGTAAAGACTTCCACATACCACTCGTGGCCTTGACAGTCGCGCTGATGATAACCCCGTTGAGCATGGGGCCGCCTTCCATATGTTTGACACTAAGGGACGGCTGGACAAGGCTATTGTAGCAAGTTCAATATATGTCTATCATGCTACCATTCAGACTCGCAACGAAAGTGCATAACGTAGCGCCTCAATTACGCTAAAGACCACATCGTAGTTGCCTTGCATGGTGATCGTGCCTTCTGGTCCAGTACGTTGCGCCTCCATCTTCACTCCTTTCTTGGAGCAGACAGTTGTTTCCTCAAACGGCACTTGATCAGGTTTGACCTCACCTATGATCAAAGCATTGTTGTCTGTGGGTTGGAGTGTGACTGTAACAGGTGGGGCTTCCATAATCGATGAAAAAAAAATAGTAATGCTCAATCAGCACAACGAGGGAACAAGAAAAGTGTCCTTTTTATGTTGCAAGATCAAGCATCCGAAGGAAGGCTGCCATATGAAATGTGCTGTAAACAGACTTTGACGCCAAGTCTAAACATTTAACCTTATGACAAGGAAGGCGTGGATACCTTTCCCATCTACTCGTAGTTATTTTTCCCATCCGCTCCAGGCCAGAACACTCGGCGTTTCCAGATAAATGCAGGCGTTGTTATTCTGAATAAGAATCCTTTGGCTTTTTTTGGATGTTCTAGTGTCCTTCATCCCCACAGGAAAAGCTTAGCAAAACGCGATTTGGGGGACACCTTTTGGGCGGATTTTTTCAGAGTTGGGGGCATGGATTTAGGAGCCTTAGAGAATTGGAAAAAGGGATTCGGCAAAGCAATTAAAGCAAGAGATGCTGTAGAGATTTGGTGCAATGATTTTTCTAGGAACTTCTACAGGAGCAGAGTTGCGTAGGATATCAAAGAGAAGGGGTATGTCTTGGAAGGCCATCAAGAAAATATTTTATATGATTGTTTTTACAAAGCCAGAGAAGGGTATACAAAAAGTTAGGATGGCTTCATTCCACGCTCTATTAGGAACCGCTCATGCTCATATTTAAGTTGCAGTTGCTTCTGCTCATATTTAAGTTGCAGTTGCTTCGTCTTCTCCTGCTCCAGCTTCGTCTTCTCCTGCTCCAGCTTCGTCTTCTCCTGCTCCAGCTTCGTCTTCTCCTGCTCCAGCTTCGTCTTCTCCTTGTCCCTTTCCAAATCAATCTCGGCTAGCCGCACCCGTTCAGTCGTAATGCTTCGGTGCTCCATTTTAAATGCATGAAAGGCTTGGAGGGTGGCTTTTTCGTCGAAAGCTAGATATTGAAGTTTGTCGTTTAATTGCTATGGCAACAATGACTCATACACTCAGCGCCTTGTCCTTACCAGGCTTCTTTGGCTTTTTTGAGATCAGTCTTTCTAAAAACTGAGATCCGGCAGCTATGCTGGCTGAGGTCAAGGAGGACGATGGCACGCCAACGGCACTTATGATAGCCGTTGTTGCGAGCGCGAAACTGCTTGCCAGCGGGACACTTCCTACTGTATGCGAAGCGGCATTCACTGCCACCCGAGACAGCATCGATTCTTGATATGAAGGGGGCAGCTCGATGGGAAGGGCGTGGTCCAGGTCGCCTAGAGAATAGTTAGCGACATGAAAGATAGTCGCTAGTATTACCATCTAACATACCACTGGAAGCCTTCTTAAAAATACCGCCATGATTGACCGTTACCCGAATAATCACGCCGTAGAATAGTGGATCCCCCTCCACTTCCTTTACGGTCATCTGCGGTTGAGAAAGGCTATGATGGCTAATTCAGTGGATGCTACAATCAGGTCTGAAAAGCGTTGTATAGTACCGTAACTCCTCAACCACTGTCGTCACATCGTCTCTGGCCCCTTGCATGGTGATGATGCTGTCAGGGCCAATGCGTTGGGCTTCCATACGCACTCCATTCTTTGCACATAGGGTAGCAGCTAATTTCTTGAATGGTGTGTCGGCTGTAGTTGCTGTCAGGATGGTTATAGTGTTTTCACTGGTAGGTGGGATTGTGATCTCTGTGGCAGCGTTCAAAGACATCGTTATTAACGATTTTCGTACAGAAGATGAGAATGGTGCAAGAAGATGGTAGCGTGTCAGGGAAGAAAGGAACAGTCTCCTTTTTATGTGCAAGGAAATGGTGCAACAAAAACGCAATGGAAACTCCTAAGTCGCAAGCGGCGCAGACATCCGATATGAACGCAGATGCATGTACTATTAAAAGAACTTCGACGCCTCTTTCCTGATAAACATTTATGATTAAGACGTTATGACACGGAAGGCGTGCATACCTCTCCCGTCTATTTTTAGTTACTTGGATTGCTGAAATGCTCGAGAATGCACGCGTTCCAGTCCCGTCCACTCCAGGCCAGAACACTCGACGTTTCCAGAAAAAACGTAGGCGTTGTTATTCTGAAAAAGAATTCCAAGCTTTGGCTTTTTTTTGGATGTTCTAGTGGACAAGTGTTCCTTCATCCCAACAGGAAAAGTCTCGAGCCAAACGCCACCGATCTGAAATGGTCGAGAATGCCCGTATCGCAGTCCCGTCCACTCCAGGCCAGAACACTCGTCGTTTCCAAAGGGATCTTCGTTGTGAAGTAGAACTCCAGTTATTTTTTTGTTTATGCGGATATGTCAGTCCTTCATCTCCACGGGAAACACATTGAGGGCGAAGCCAAAGGATACCTGATATGTCAGTTCTGCATTGTGTTTCAAGGTCGCATCACTGTCCCCAACCCAACCCCTTTCCAACCACAGAACGTGCATGGACTTTCGTCCCATCTCTTAGTGTATTGGCATCTCTGACCCAACGTTGCTTACCTGATGAATTATGAGTGATCGACAGTCATGTGACTCTAGTGGCTGTACATTCCATTCCATGAAAGGCTCAGCATTGTGATGAAGGAGGCAGTGCTGAACTTTTCTACGGCGGGGCTTTGAGATTGGCGAGAACCGAGGGCATTTTGTTCCAAGACGGAGGGCAGCAGGGTTTCTGCTGTGCAAGCCATTTCCATTGCTTGTATATAGTCGATCGTTTTGTTCTTTGCAGATTTGATTCACGCGCATGGGCACCATGACACTCAATACACGAACATGGGTGGGGGCCGCCCTCGCGCTATATGTAGCTATCTTTTCTGTTACTGCATTCTGTCAACCGCTCGCCTTGTTACCGCTGCGTCCAGTCATGCAACCGGCCGCATTTGCGCCTCACAACATGGAAATCGCCGAACAACCAGCACAGCGAGGTAAGTGCATGTTCTCCTGTCGCGGGGCTACCCTAAGATTCACGCTAACCGCTTGGTTTGTGCGTAGTTCAAGGAGCTGTGACTCTCCCAGATCTCTCCAAAATCACCATTCCAGACAATTTCAACTTGTCCCAAGCTGTCAAGGACATTTTGGATAAGCTGCCCCCCGACTTGCGCGCTCCAGGCTCTGTATCAAGAGATCGCTACATTGTTGCCTTGCATCCAAATGCAACATCCGACGACCTTAACAGCCATCTTCAGTGGATCATCAACATGCTCAGTGACACGCAACTTTTCGACAAGGATACCATCAACAAATTTGCTGGCATCCTCCAAAAGTTTGATTCAGAGTTCCTGAGAGGTTATCAGGGCCACTTCCCAGAATGGCTTGTGGCCCTCATTCAAAGGAGTCCCCTGGTGAGACTGGTAGAAAGAGATCAGTATGTCGGCGGGACACAATCACCTGTATCCAACAACCCATATGTGACCATGACGGGATTCTTGGCTGCTGCGAATGAGAGTCAGACGGTTTTCCAGCGAGATCCACCATGGGGACTCGATCGCATCTCTCATCGCGAGCCCGGTTTCCAGGGCCTCTATGTGTATCCACCTAATGGAGGGTATGTAATGACTGGAGAGTGTTTTGTGGCGCTCGCAAGGCTCTAACGATTCACTGTTTTTCAGGGCGGGTGTGGACATTTACATTGTGGACACGGGATGCAACGTGGCCCACGATGATTTCGGTGGACGTGCTCGCACTGGCGCCTCCTTTTCAGCGGACGGCGACATTGACGGCAACGGACACGGCACACACGTTTCAGGTACTGCAGCCGGAGCAACCTATGGCGTCGCAAAGGCTGCCAACATTGTTGCCGTCAAAGTGTTGGACAATGACGGGAACGGCCTTGTTAGCCAGGTCATCAAGGGATTGGAATGGGTCTTGGGTCAAGTCCGCCAAAATACAACGCGAAGAGCCGTAATTAACATGAGTTTGGGGGGAGGTGGCACATCTGCATTGATGAATGAGGTGATTGGACGCGCGGTTGGATTGGGTGTGCCTGTTGCCGTCGCAGCTGGTAACAACAATACAAATGCTTGCGATTCATCTCCAGCCGATTCTGGCGTGGTCATGACGGTTGGAGCCTCGACGGAAACCGATCGACGAGCCTCGTTTTCCAATTTTGGTTCCTGCGTCAGTAAGTGCCCCTACGTTTTTCTAACCTTTTTCTGTTGCACATTTACTCATCATTGCATGACAACAGATATTTTCGCACCGGGGACCAACATTACATCTGCTTGGTACACTTCAAATACAGCGACTCGCGTATCCTCTGGCACCTCCATGGCCTCTCCCCATGTTGCCGGTATGATGGCTGTCGTCTTGTCCCTGTATCCGTCTGCATCAGCTCGGGATGTGTATACCATCATACAAGACATTAGCACCAAAGGCGCCATCAACAATGCGACATTGAATGCGAGTATCAATCAGCTCTTGTATAATGGGATAAATGGGACGAGGTTTGATGGCCTAGGACGGTCCTTTGGGCTGACAGGCCAATGGAAGTTGGTTTGGGAGACTGTACAATCGGTTTGGATGTAGTATAGAGAGTTGAGGATACGTTTTTTTTTTATTTTGCAGGATTCTTGTAGATGGATGTCTCTGACAGTTTTGTAAACATGTATTATTGCAAAAGCCCGTTTTTTTAAAAATGCCTCAGTCTGTTTGTCGATTGGACTTTATCCGCCATAGTCCGGAGGTCCGGAAATGCTGCTGACTCACACACAACCTTCGTATTTCACTATGGCAACCGGTACTGAAGTTCGTCAGAGGTCGTTGGGAAGGGTGCCGCCAGCGTCAGATCGGGTTATCCAAACTGCGGAAAAAAGATCAGATATCTGGCAGTAGACTGTAGGACCTGGGTACTATAGAGGGTTTTCACGTTCATGTAAGTTTTGTTGGTTCCTTGCTTGCATTCTTCATTTTCGGTTTTTGACTTGTTTCCAACAGTATCGATTTACATTATGGCCTCCCTACTACAAAATGGGAGAGCCCTTTGGCGAAACACTCGCCACCTGTCCGCAGCTCCCACCTGGCATTCATTCACACGCAAATCCATTCACTGTCTGACACATACGCGACAGCCGTTGGCCCGCAGTCGCCTATTATCATTGCTAGAGACGCAGAGTTGGGGGTCGATACGGAGCATGGCGTCCGAAAGTGACCCGAAAACGAATGACGAGGAGCGGAGATTGCCAAAGGGGTTTGAGCATTTTGCCAAGCCGCCAAAGAGAGAGCCAAAGGAGAAGGAGCGTGAAAATGAGGAAGAAGAGAGTTCGCGGGAGGAGACGGGACGGCGACAAAAGAAGAGGGATAGTGAGGGTGCAGAAGACAAAGGGAAAAGCGGTAAGGATGGTGCGTTTGTAAGCGCAATGCTGTGATGGTACTCATCTTTTACTGCAGGCAAGATTCCAAAACCTCCGCCACCAATAGAGATCTTTACAATCAAGATCAACCCCAACATGGTCCTCCTCTACGGTCTGCCCGCCGCATTTTTGCTATACAACTTTTGGTCCAGCTACTCTTCCGAACAGCAAATAACATGGCAAGATTTCCGCGCCAACATGCTCGACAAGGGCTATGTTGACCATCTGGAAGTCGTCAACAAAAGCATTGTACGCGTGTACCTCCGTCCTGATGCTCCCCAACTTCGTTCGTCATCTCATGGTCCTTTGCCCGCCAACCAACCCCACTACTACTTTACGATTGGGAGTGTAGAGTCGTTTGAGAGAAACTTGGAGTTGGCGCAACGGGAGCTTGGGATCCCTGCACGGGAACGTATACCAGTGACCTATGTTAATGAGCTCAGCACCATGTCCATTTTGCTGAACTTGGCGCCAACATTTTTGATGGTGGGTGTCTTGTTCTGGCTATCGCGGCGGGCGGCTGGTGGTGCGAGTGGTGGACAAGGCATCTTTGGAATCGGCAAGTCGAGGGCGAAGCTATACAACCATGAAACAGAGGTCAAGGTCAAGTTCAAGGATGTAGCAGGGATGGATGAGGCCAAGGAGGAAATTATGGAGTTTGTAAAGTTTTTAAAGGACCCTGCGCGATACGAGCGGTTGGGGGCAAAGATTCCCAAGGGTGCAATTTTGTCGGGGCCTCCTGGAACGGGTAAAACGCTCTTGGCCAAAGCCACGGCAGGAGAGGCGGGTACACCATTTTTAAGCGTATCTGGATCCGAGTTTGTGGAGATGTTTGTAGGAGTCGGCTCGTCCCGTGTGCGAGACCTCTTTGCCAACGCCAAAAAACATGCCCCGTGCATTATTTTCATTGACGAAATTGATGCGATTGGAAAGGCGCGTGGAAGGGGTGGATACGCCGGTGGAAATGATGAACGGGAGAGCACACTCAACCAACTGTTGGTTGAAATGGACGGGTTTGGATCGAGCGAGCACGTGGTTGTGCTGGCGGGTACTAACCGGCCTGATGTTCTTGACCCGGCGTTGCTCCGACCTGGCCGATTCGACCGACACATTGCCATCGACCGGCCTGACATTAAGGGCCGAGTGGAGATCTTCAAGGTGCATCTCAAACCTATCAAAACGACCGAGGACATTGAAAAGCTTGCTCGGAAATTAGCAGCATTGACTCCAGGCTTTTCTGGAGCGGATGTTCACAACGTCTGTAACGAAGCCGCCCTCATTGCTGCCCGACAGCTCTCTGATTCCGTCACGGAGAAGCATTTTGAGGCTGCCATCGAACGTGTTATTGCTGGTCTCGAAAAGAAATCCCGTGTCCTCTCTCCCGAAGAAAAGAAGATTGTTGCTCATCACGAAGCCGGACACGCTGTTGCTGGATGGTTCCTCCAACACGCCCACCCCCTCCTCAAAGTCTCCATCATCCCCCGTGGAGTCGGCGCCCTCGGGTACGCACAGTACCTTCCAAAAGAAGAATACCTGCACTCCACCTCTCAAATGCTCGACATGATGTGCATGACCCTCGGCGGCCGTGCGTCCGAGCAAATCTTTTTCAAGTCGATCACAACGGGTGCACAAGATGACCTCCAAAAAGTGACGAAAATGGCATACGCCCAAGTCATGACGTACGGCATGACGAAACTTGGTCACATCTCATACGGCAACCCGAACGGCGAACAGCAGTTCCAGAAACCTTATTCTGAAGAAACTGCCAAACTCATTGACGAAGAAGTTCGGGGCATTATTGCATCTGCTTACGAGCGTACTGTCCAGCTTCTCACGGACCGAAGTGCTGAAGTCAAAAAAGTCGCAAACTTGTTGTTGGAAAAGGAAGTTATTGGTCGGGAAGATATGATTAAACTTTTGGGACCTAGGTAAGCTATCTTTGTCTCTCTTGTTTGTTTTGCCCACATTGACTTTGTTGGCTTCCTAGACAATGGCCGGATACTGGCAACTATGTGGAGTACCTCGGCACTCCAGAAGGGCAGGACGCACACGAGTTGGTGGAACAGTTGAAACAAGAAGAACAGAAAAAGAAAAAGGATGCTGAGAGTGATGCATAGAATTTCGATATCATTAATTTTGGTGTTTGATGTGATGATTTTTTTTACAAGAAACATCTGGTTTAAACAACGTGTCTGTGATTGGAGATTGACCTCTTAAAGATACCTCATTCTGATTTTTCACTATTGGTTTATGTGTACGGATTTGGGCTTTGAGTGAATCGCATGATAGTTTCCCGCGGGATTGGTTTTGCTTTACCCCAATTGGCTTACATAAACCAGGCTCCGCTACCAGGAGGCCAGACTTTCCGATACCCCCAATGATCTAGCCATCATGTATCGACCCTTCTATATTTATCACAAGGTTTACTTACTAAATATTGGGAGACGCAGAGACACGGCACAGTTAGACTTGACGGAACTGGTGCAATCCTATCGGTGTAGCTTTCTTGCGTTAATTTCCAGGGTTGGAGTTTAAAACTTTGTAGATTGGGTCTTCTCCCCTTCTCCAAAACCAAGGATATTTTCTTTTTTCACGCATTTCGGGTGCCGGGCACCATTTTTGGGACGTCGACCAAGATGCCATACACTGCCGACCACCTCGCCTCCAACTACGCCTGGGGTGCCCTCATCCTCTCCACAATAACCCTCCTCACCTGTCTCAAAACCTGGCTATCACACTACACAACCTTCCATCTCCACCTCGGCATCATTTCCAGTGGTGTATCCTTGTTTCTGATATTGTTTGCGGTCAAAACGGGGTATTTCGTTCAAGGTGCCAAGCTTCGACCGGGGTTTGCAATGTTGTATTTGAGTGTGGATTGGGTTTTGTATTTTACGATGATGGGGTATATTTGGTTTGTTAGCGAGCGGGTCAAGAGGTTTGAAATAGTAAATGTCCATCCTTTTTTTTTTGCTCGAGATTGTGTGTGATGCAAAGTTGATAAGTTTTTGATGTAGGTTCTCAAGATCCCCCGAAAAGTCGTCCCACTTATTCAAGTCATTGGCGCTATCCTCCTTTTCTTCCTCCTCCTCGCCGAACTTGTATGGATGATCAAAGACATGGACTCGGGTTTAATCTTTTCGTTTTACAACGTAGCAGAGACGCTTCTTTTTGGATATGCTGCTATAGTCGAATGGGGATGCGGGATCGCCATTATTGTCGCGGCATATAAAATCAGGAACGCATTAGGCGCAATCTTTCGGCGTCTTTTTATTTCCCTTCTCGTTGCGTTTTTATTCCAATTTATCTTGTCGATTGGGTCGACGGGTTTGAAATCTTTATGTTGGACCGTCTGTGGACCTGATCCATCCTGCGATGCTACTGATCCCGATACGCTTTGCGGTCCTATTGAATCGCAGTGCCCGTACCCCCTCATGGTTGCGACGTGTGGTGTTCCCCTCGTAGTCCTCAGTCTCCATTATGCTATGTTGGTCACATTTCAATTTACTTTGACCACCATGTTGAGGATGTGGCCTGTTGAGGGGATTCAGCTGGAGCCGTCTGCATTGTATAGTAAGGATAAGGAGAAGACGGTAGTTGTGCGGGCTGTGGGGGAGGATCCGGGGGATTGGAGGAGGGTGGGGATGGGGGTGAGGGTGGGTGGTATGGTGGGAGGGGCGAGGGAGGGGACAGGACAGAGAGTAGAGAGTCCGGGGGTGAGAGGGATAAGAGAGGGCGTTTAGGAGGATATCCCAGTAAGAATGATAGAGGCATGGAATATGTACAAAGGATGAACTGGTTTCCAAAATATTGAACAAGTCCGCTAACGACGTGAAATGCAACAGAACAGACATTCAGTCAACGAGACCAAGAGATGGGCTCTAACCACATGTACAAAAAACATTTAAAACTTCCTACTCCACCCCACTTTAACGCAAACCATAACATACACATTTCAACCATCTACACTACTCTGCCGCAAGCGCAACACCCCCAACCCCACCTTCAGCAGCCTTTTCCCCCTCCCTACCAAAAACCTCCTCCCAATTCCGCACAAGCACTTCTATCAACGCTTCTACACCGGGAAACATGACTATAGCGAGATTCTCCGGAGTCATCTTGTTAATGTCCGAGTGGGCCGTAATGCGGGAGAGATGACGGGTCAAGTAACGCACAAGATTAAAGTGTGATGGGGATGTTAGTGTTTTCCGGAGGAGGGGATTGAGGAATGCGGCTGGGGTTGCTGTCATGCAAAATCACTTAATATAATGATTATACAGATACTTGTCAATTGACGATAACATACATATTATGGCATTCCGAAGATGGATCTTGACGTCTTCTCCGCCCCATATTCCGCCGGGTATAGACGCCAGATACTTTTTCAGCAGTGACGCCACGGTATGTGGGGATTCGTGGACGGGGAACACATAGTCGAATGCACCGGTATCAATGGAGAGTTGGTAGGTTTGGACTTTACGATGTGATCCCGGGACGCGATACAGCCCCTCCTTGTCAATCGCTAAACACATATCAAAAACCTGCAACGTGAACAGACTCGCTGAAAACAGGCTACAAACCATTTGCTTCAATCCACTCTACACACACTCTCACCAGCCGCGGGACACCTTCTGCGACATGGTCCCGCTTGTCAACTGGGTCGGGCTCTGATTCCCGTTCTCGGTCTGTTATCACTTCCAGAGGGACCCCAAAAGTGCGTACAAGTTCTAGTGATATCGTTCGGGGAGGAAGGGACATTGGCGTATCGGCTCGTGGTGGTGGTGGTGAAGGAGTGGATTGGAGTACCCTGTCATTATCACAATTGAGATATGAATAAGTATGCCTACAATCATTCAAACTGTCATACGAAAAGAGGAATACCTATTTGAACCTTCCCAGCCATCCCTCCTCTCCTCCTTTGGTCGTCTCAACCGGCCCGCCCATTTTGCAATCCCCGCCCACCAAACCCCCTGATCATCCTCCTTTTTTTGTCGTTCCTCTCTCAAACTTGCTGCCCGACTTGGTACACGTAAATGCGTTTCGTCGCTCTTGCGCATGGCTCGTCGACGTGGGAGGGGCGGTGGGGAGATGGATGTTGGCGGCACTGGTGAGAAGGGTGGGTCCGAGGGATATGATGGTCCTGGGGAGAAGGGCGGGTCTGGGGAGACGGTTATCATTGGTGTGGAAGGTATACGTGGTAGGGACAGAAACGGGCGAAGATCGCTTGAAGACATTATTGTGAAATTGTTATTGGGGTGAGTCGGGTGTGCAGCTTCTATTTGTAGCTTTTTGAATTCGTCTTGACGATGCTTTGCATATTCCAGAAACGATCTTGGCAGAAAATGTTGAAGTGTTTTTCAAGGGCTGCTCTTCTTTTGCTTGGCCCTTTTGAACCTTTTATGTGCACAGCCGCGGGTCGTAGTCAGCTGGCGGCAATTACATCAGCGCCCAAAAGCAACCTGCCACGCATTTGGGGGGGATTTTTAGTAAAGGCATATCGACTTTTCTTTTTTTTTTTTTTGTGGTTTTTTCTTTGATGCGGGCTCACTAGGAGGGAATGTTTGGAGATATGGTATTGACACTGCCCAATTTCATGTATGGAAGGTTGGGTTTTGTCATGAATCAGGCTGTGGGCTTCAAGCCCCTACAGGCTGGCCTTCCCTCCACACGAAGCAGTCGGTTTTGTCACACTTGTTACGATCGGTCAAAACAATAGATATGGAGGGCAATTTGTAGTGTTCCAAGAGGGCTGTGTAGCGTATAGCACAGAAGTTGAATGTCCATTTTACGCCCACCGAAACATGGTACATTCTTGTAACTAGGTTTTACTTTTTCAAATGCCACGTTTGTGTTCGACGTTTTTCTGATCTCTCTCAACATTGGTTCAGCCAAGATTTTCTCTACTACAAAACGTTTGTAGAACTGCTAATTGTAAGTACTCAATGCGTCTCTGATTACCCATCTCTCCATCGTAAGTCGAGGCACCGACTGCGGGAAGTAGGACGGGGGGCTTTGGAGCCAAGGTAAACAGCGCCTCCAGAGACTTGCGACAATGTAGTGACAGAAGATCCCTATACCTTGGCAAACAGTCGGTGACGTTCCTCAGGTGGGCGTTCAGGACAGCCTTCCATTATTCCATGGTCCCTTTTTGGTACATAGATCCAGCCAGAACGCCAGTCTCACCATGGTTTCCCAATTGCCGCTGTGTGGGCTTGAGTAAGTTGTCAGCCTGCTAGAGTCAGATTTAATGACATACTTGATTAATGTCCTTGATTTCTCCCTTGCTTTGACCACCCTGCAACCATTAATATCCCTCGTCTGTTAATTTACTCCTCATCAGTCACGCAGAAGAGAGAGCCTAAGGACAAGAACCTAACGACACAGGACAGCACAACAACCCAGCCCAACCTTAATGGATAGTGGACAACAGTTCCATTGTAACTAATACGATTAATTCCCCTGATGGGAGACTAGGCTGCAAAACAAGGCAGACTCTAGATGATGTGACATCATTTGTCTCTTCATGGCTGAAACGGGCTCATCTGGAATATAGTATGGAGATTACCCCATCTCGGCTGGTACCCGCACACAATACAGAGGATGCTGTCGCATTTGAAAGATGGGCTAATTCGCGATGCAAGCCATATATATTCAGCCAGTAATTGCTACTCGCATAAACCCTGCATATGCAATATCATGTGCAGAACCAGTTACCCAACACTACTCCTCCTCAGGAATGAACTCATCCCTCGCCTCGCTCCACCACGCTTCAACGGGCCTCGGAGGTTTACCAACCACTCGAGTAAAATCCGGCGAAACATACTGCAATCTCCCCAACCGTACTAAATGAAACTGTTCTTCCAAAACTTCAATCTCGGACGGATCAAGATCTTCAACGAGTTCAATGTACTCTCTCCAGTCTTGGACAGAGATGGGTTTGAAGCGGATATCGGGGATGCCGGATTTGGCTACAAGCTCATCACCTGTGAGGGCTTCAGGGCCTGTATTGGGGGAATGCAGTATATTAGCAAGGTCTTCATGGACTATAAGAATTCTCGTTCTTGTCACTATACCGGTAAATTCATAGCATCGAGCACGGTGCTGCTCCACTCCATGGCCAATGATGGTCGTAATGGCATAGGCGACATCTCGGACGTCAACAGGGGCAAACTTTTTGTGATCGATCGGAAGTCCGAGTGTTTTTGAATCCTTGACTTGTTCGGTATATAAGAATAAGTTTTGAATATAGTGGCCGGCTCTAAGTGCATTTTCAGAAAGTGATCAGAAAGTGAAGAATCAAGGATATATCAGACTTTAGGCAGTTCCATTCATGGGAATAGGCATATACCTGGCAATGCACACATTAGGGACTGAAGATGCCTTGCTGGCTTTCTCAATGGCGAGGAATTGCTGCATTCTTCGACCTCCATTAGGGTCATCGCAAGCTTGGGACGATACGGTGATGGCGTTCAAGGTTCCGGCTTCTTGCGCGGCCCGAAGAAGATTTTCTGCTACGAGCACCTAGCATAATCCATATTTTACTTAGAGCATGTTCTTCCAAATGTCTATGCATTCATACTTTGGCATCTGTAGCCGGAGGCACCAAAACAGCCACATCCACTCCATTCGATTTCATCAACGTGGACAGCTCATCTACGCTCGTTTCCAGCACGTCAATATTTTGTATCTCGGCACCAAGGTTCATGTGTTCCGGGTTTTCCAAATCAGGCGGAAACAGGGCAATAACTTTGGCAATGCGGTTCTTGTATTCGCCGCTGAGAAGCTCTTGAACGACGGCATCGCCTGTGCGGCTCTCTGCAGTGGTGACGAGAACGGTGAGTTTCCTGGTGGGAACCATTTATGATGAATTTGATAGTACGACGTTAGAGGGCAGCGGCCGACGCCGGCTTTTATGTTTGCGGAAACCAAGCGGGACCAACGTTTGGAGAGCGTCATGAGGATCTCATGAAAAGGGTTCATCAAGCCTTTCCTGATGGCCGATGACAACCGATGGGATCGTATGACTTTTGACGTAACGGGGGATAGCAATGCCGCTGTCAAAAACCCTAAATTCACACAATGCGATTCACATTGAGCCATTCCTCTTATGTATTATGGAGGCTCATAGCAGAAGAGCAAAAGACAATATGACACATGGAACCTAATAAGATATACTCGACCTACTCTCCAGCGCTATGCATTTCTAATATAGGCTACCCTCCTTTCCCAATCCTTCAAGTTATGAGATACCTTTTACGCCTTCTTCTTGTTTCGGTTTAAAGTCTCAATACTCTTGTAACTACCCCACAGTGAGTCCCAAAGTCTATCAAGAGAAAAGTGTCAAATCGGATCACCGTCATGGTGTGCCATGATCAAAAGACTCTGCTCACCTAAAATTCAGAGAAAAGTTGCACATTGGGTATAAATGGTGCATCTCATGGTCTTCTGGAATCTGCGACAGACCCACAGGACTCAGGACTTGCTGTAGCCAGGCAAACGGATTGCCAAAGTACAGAAGCGGGTGCATTTTCATTCCCGTATGGCCAATGACAAAGATCTGGCCAACAAGCAGTCAGATACCGGCTGCTCATTTTCATGGAGCAAAAAAAGAATGCAGAGTCTCATTACCTTGAATTGCGATAGCCATGCTAGGCGTAACGTCAGCATGTTGAATGAAGGCATCAGATCCATCAGGATGACGCTGATCAGAATGGAAGGGCCGATCAACAAAAAGTTCTCGATCCATGCAGCATAGCCTGTTGAGAAAGCCTAGGTGAATGTGTTAGGGAACTCAATACCGAGAAATCAAACAACGAGATGGCTCACATTGATGTTGCGCTTTTCATGGTGATGCTGCACAATTGGAGAGGAAATAAGGTGAATCAAGGTACTCGCATTACATGTCTTGGTCGTATCCAAGTTACTTACGCTATGTACCCAATTCCAAAGGACCTTGTTTTTGTGCATGTACCGATGTCCATAAAAGTACCTGCACAGATTGACACAGAATTATTTGGCAAATATTCTAGAACAGTGTCGTTTATTCATTCCTTCTTACCAAATGTCTTGGAGGAAAAAGACAACCAACTGAAAGAGGATCACCTGCCAGAAGTCAAACTTGTATGTAATCTTTGGGTAGACGCTCTCCCATCGAGCCGCAATATACAAGACGGGCATGGTGACGATGCTTGTTGCAGCAAAATAATTCATAATGTAATCCCGATCTTCCGGCAGTGCAAGCTACTCGTATCAAGAAAGTATCATAAGTACGGAAATGGCAGAGTCAGATCTTGTCAGATGGATACCTGATGTCTTTGAACCCATCCACGTCGATACAGGAATTTGGTCCATTGGTAAATTAGCTCAATGTAAAGAACGCCGACGAAGCCAAAGAGAAGGATATAATTTGTGCTATTGACGAGCTTTATGCTCCAATCGTAGGAGAGACCGCTTTTCGACACCACTGTGGCCGCCAAAGAGGCATAAGCCCCATACGTGGTCCAAAAGAGATCCTTGGCTGTCGGGACGATGTATGCAACAGTGTGGTTCATGAGGAACTGTTTGAATGAGATGGAGGGACGCTGTCGCAGTCTGCTTTCTCGCTCTATAAAGCCCAAAACCTGCCAAGAACTAAATGTCTACAAGCAAAAAACGCTTGCTGCAAAAAGTTTTGTTCTTGCTTGTGATAAATCAAGGTTATGGTTTGGACGAACGACGAAGTTTTCTTCTTTTTCTTTTGCCAATGCCTCTTCAAAACGACGATGCAATTCACACTGGGGCGCTAAAAAGCCGAAAATGGGGGACACGGTCACGTTTACCTTTTTCGCTGATGTCGCACCCAAAGAGGCTGTCGTGGATTGGGCTTTTTGCATATGACAGCCCTCAAACGATCTTTTTTTTCACGAGGGTTGAAGAGCTCACATGTCCCGCAATGACGGGGGGCTGAACTTCAAAAAGTATGGATGGTGAGCAACAAACGCATAATCCAACCAACCAAAGATGAAGCGCTCTGTTTGAGGACGCTTTCTGGGACACATGTAATCAAGATTAGTTTCAAACCAGTATTGATGATGAAAGCGCAGACTTTGGAGCAGCACCGCCAGATCTGCTCAAGAAAAAAAGTGTGCGATCAGAGTGTTCATGTTAGTCATTCGCCAAACGTATTTTTTTTTTTCCACTCTGGCTCGTCATCATCCGCAACCGTCGTCAAATGACTGACAATCTAATCTTGCGGTGCTATCCTTTCATGAATCAGTCTTTAAAAGTCCATTAGCTACTCACATTACATACGTATGCAACAATCGTTTGTCCAAGCTAAACAATTCTTCAGAGTTGGAAATCTCGAGGATAGACTTGAGTATTAGAATATACTCCAAGCTTGGCTTTACAAGCAAGTGTGCTCCACGGTACAGCATTTCCTGCAGGTCCGCATGAAAGACTCGGTCGGCATACTTGGACTGGCTATATACACTCAAAACCTCCAAAGCCTTCACGAACTGTCATGAGTGCATATGGCCGTGGAAAACGATTGGAATCCAAAAGACGAGCCACGCGAGCAAAGAAATCATTCCGCCCGCGTGAGTTGTTTTCTGTGCGCGAACGGAGACTTGAGCGTGATGGTCAAAAATTTCGTTTACTATTTTATTTTAAAAGGGAACTTTTGTTGTTTAATTTCCAAAGGATTTTAAACAATTAGTTCTCCTGCTGACTTGCTGCTGCTTGCCCACTTGACTCGCAGACGATCGGGGGGTTCTTTAACTGGCCAAAATCCATCTCTGAACAACAAACATGATGGCGATCCATGCAAAGGTTGGAGCTTTTGGAGCTTTTTGGCTGATGGTTAAAGTCATTAGCAAGTTTACAGCACAGCCGGGGACGGGACAGAAATGCCAAGAGTACCGGGCATGCGTAGCAAAAGACGACCATGCAGCATCAATTTGTGTGCAAGGAGAGTCCAAGCTATCCTTCCCGGTGTCGGCTGGAGCAAATTCCATCAAAAGGTTTAGGATCCAGGACAAAGTCATTTGTACGCGCATCTTATTAGCAATTCTTGGGTAAATTTTAGATCAACTTTGCCAACGCTGGTTAACCAAAGTGTTATTGTGCCAATGGTCCGACAACCAAGAGGAGGGGGGGAAAAGGAAATTTAAAAGAGTCCAACAAAAAGAACAAAAGCACTGCATGGAAGCAATTTGCCAGACACCAAAATGATACAGTGTAATTAACGACATCATAGTCCATCGCATGGGTGCCATGCAAATGTTTGTGATCTACTACGACCATTATTTGTTTATCCAAAACCCATCCTTGAAATGGATCTTGCCTTAGGAGTGATAATCCATGTTCATAAGGCAAAATTACGCCGGCCTAGTCACGTAGTTTAAGGTATGCCATGGAACTGTCTGGGATTTCAATAGTCCCCCTGCGAGGGTTCAAAGGACCACCATTTCAAAGCAAAAAGTGTATCTTTTGGAGTAGTTATCCAACCGACCACGCTCTCTGGACCTCCTTCTGTTTGCGGGGAAGAAGATTTCCCCAGATTCCACACCAAACTTCGCCTTGTGCTGCAGCGCTGAAGCGCTACGACAACATCTGGCAATAGAACCTTCGATTCACCTTTTTCTTTTCAACATTGGAAACCCCCCGATGTTGCCGAACAAAGGACATGACCATCGTCTTGCTGTGGATTGCCAAGTAGCTAGTGGCACCGCATGGTTTCGATCCATTCAAACATACAACGTCCCCTGTCCATGTGCTGTTCCCTTTTCATGATGATCGAGCTTAACAAACTATCTGTGCTTGCTTGGGGCCTTGCTCTGAACAGGAAGATCCAACTCCATACCATTTACTGGATGGCTCGCTGGGTCATTCGCATCTGTCGTTTTCTTCAGATGCGACACAGCCTTTGTTCCGTAGTAGGGATAATGCGCTTAAAAATCCAGGAGGCATGACGAAATGTTCTGCTACCTCCTGCCTTTCGTCCTATTCATCTTTTTTCAGTAAACCATTCAATTTGTGCTCGGATAACGCTTGGCGCCAGAGTCAAACATCGGCCATCTGTCTCCGCTCTCCCTCCAAAGCTCTCGTCCAAAGTTAAAAAGGCTCCATCGCCTGTCTCCCCCATCACATCAGCACCAGCAATCAAGGACATCGACTTTACAAAGCGGATCAGCCAGAGTGGAATCTCGAACCAATCTTCTTGCACCTCATACAACCAGACCTTCCAAGTTTCCTCAACTTGTCTTTCCATAATGGCTCTTCTCCGCAGTTTTGTCGCACTCCTTGCATGTGCTGCCATCGGCACTCAAGCCGCTCCAGCTGTTGATCAGCTCCAATCTCGCGGCGCTGCGCGTCGTCAGGCTCAGAATGCTGAAGCCGTCCGGCTCCAGTTTATGTCCGATGTATGTTCTTGATGATGTGATTTAGCTCGCTAATTTTCGATAAACTCATGTTGTTTTCATACTAGATTTTGGGAGCTCCTGCTTCCTCCAACATGGTTAAAGACCTCAGTTCCGACGCCATTAAGAACGTCATTGTCACCAAAGCCGACCCAGCCAAGGATGCACCCGTGAGTCCAGCTTTTACGGCTTCAGAAGCCACCAATGCGACTCAATCCAACTTGGTGGCTCGAAGCTTCGTGAGTGGTGCGCAGCTTGACGATCTCAAGCTTCACCAAGCCTACGCTGCTGCCTCTTGTACGTTTCAACTGCGTCTCATCTTCAATGCTTTATCACGTTGATATCTGACATGTTTTCTGCCTATAGATTGCCTCGCTGGTATCGAAAACTGGACTTGCCGGGAGCGTTGCTCTGGACCTACCGCCGGAACGATTATCGTCAAAAAGTTTGACACACTGCTCACCAACACTGTCGGTTTCGTCGGATACAACCCATCTCAGAAGGCTATCATTGTCTCGTTCCGTGGAACTCTCTCAATCCGAAACGCAATCAATGACCTCAAGTTCTACAAGGTTGATGCTGACTACAAACTGAACAGAATCAAGGTTCCCGATGGCGCCAAAATCCATGGTGGATTCGGGGATGCCTACAATGCCGCTGCTAGCACGGTCCGCAGTGCCGTTCAGCAAATCTTGAATGGACCCGGCAAAGATTTCAATATTCACGTTGTTGGCCACAGCATGGGTGGAGCCATCGGCATTCTTGGTGCGATCGACCTTTACGATTTCCTCGGCGAATCCTTTGGTAACAAGATTAAAGTCTACTCTTTCGGCGAGCCTCGGTATGTGCTTAGTTACGCGTCTTTTCGTTCATCTACCATGATTTGCTGAACTGTTTTGACATTTAGTGTTGGAAACAAGGCCTGGGCAAGCTGGGTTTACACTCTCCCCTTCTTCAGCAACATGTTCCGTGTTACCCACAACACCGACATTGTCCCCCACCTCCCTCCCAAAGCTTTCGACTTTTTGCACCACCGTGCAGAATACTGGATCACCTCCAAGGGCGACTTGTCCACCTGCGACGACTCCTTGGGTGAGGCGGCAGCCTGTGCTGGCAGCGTGATCATTCCTTCCATCGTTGCTCACTTGGTTGGATACTTTGACATTCCTTTTGGGTAAGTGCAGATGCGCCTTTGTAATCTTTCTGAAGCACAGATAATTAACTGTATTTCTCTTTCAATAGACCATGGTGCTGAGCGCCGTTCCGATTGTTTACAGTTCTTGTGGGGCATAAATTATCCTATGCCGGTCAAGGATAATTTTGCGTGAGATTCTATGCAGTACCCTTAGTTAGAAATAGTAAATACAGAGTAATGTACTAGATAGCCTGGCGCTTTCGGATCAACTTATACCTCTCTTAGTACTCCCCGTAGTATCAATATACCTAGTAGTTGAGCCTCAAACTTTTTATTTTTTTTTTATTTGTCTATCAGGTGAGAAGAATTAATGTCTGTCAGATTCATCTCATGATTGCAGGCTGCTGAAACCAAGCCACGACTGTCGGTTGAATCATGAGAATACAGATGTGGTGGTGCCGAGGACCTCGCCCTCCCGACAAAAACAACATAACCCCTTGCAAATGCTGCTACTACTATACTGCTACGATCGCAGGTATTTCTTGCTGATTTTCCCACGCCCGTATTCCGAGTCTAATTATTCTGATTTTACTAGTATCTGAACATCCTCCGACTCAAGAATTTCGGAATCAAAGGCCTAGTAGGATTTCTCTCGTGTGGTGGGCAAATTATCCGGTTTATAAGAGCCATTGCGTGTATAATTGCCTAGTAGTAGTTTAAAGGATTGATGTGGTCCTTTAGATTTCATGCTTCTTACTGTACTCACATCTGCGATCAGAAATGATCAAAGATGACTACGTTATTTGGAGCTTTTCAATACATTGGGAGAGAAATGTGCACGTGGTCGAAAAAAGCTTCCCATTATAATTTTTTTGGGGAGTGAGATAGTCATGGCGAGATGGCCGAGTTGGTCTAAGGCGTCAGGTTAAGGCCCTGATCTCTCCGGAGGCGTGGGTTCAAATCCCACTCTCGTCACTCCCGAACTCCGAAAACTCTTTTTTGTCGAGTACCCTCTGGATGAGGAGAGATGAGGAGATGTCACTGAATTTGATTCTTGAAAACGAACTCTAGGTTGGTCAAGTCGGTCAAACTTCTAGTTTTCAAGGATCTAATCGTGAATAAACATGCAGCGATGGTTTGACGAGTGCAACTCTAGAGAGCTTCTCGCCCAATTCTTCCTCTCCGATCCAGTCCTATTCAACTACCATCTGGGGGACCTTGATGATTTTTACTTTCCGCATTGCACGTGGCAAACGGCTGTCGACTCTGACGGGAACCTGAAAGCGGTCGTTTTACTCTACCATCCTCCCACCCGAAGCACACCAGTTGTCCTGGCACTTTCGAAAGACGAGGATGAGTTTGGGCAACTGGTGGCGCACCTAACAAAGAATCGTTTCTTCCCGGAGACATTCTGGTGCCATTTCTCGGCAGATTTCATGGAGATGGTCGATCCTGCATATCGTCTGTCTATAAATACTCCTTTTCCAGACGTCAACTTTAAGATGCGCTTGGGCCCAGATGGTGTCGATCTGTGTCGGCAGGCTCTGAAGCAGAAATCTTTTTCCGGTCAACTACTTCGTCTGACATCGTCCCCGGACCACCTTGCTGCTGCCATGGACCTGTACCGCACCGTCCCCTCAATACATTTTGACCCACGGATGCTTCACACTCATTTCTATTATGGTGTGATGGAACCCTCGAGTACATCTACCATGCCACGATTACTATGCATCGCTGGAGTTCATGTGCATTCTACAGAGTATAAGCTAGCGGTCATTGGAAGTGTTGCTACTCGCCCTGGCTTTCGTGGTGCTGGGTATGCAACTGCATGTGTAGCAATGTGCGTTTTGCAGCTAATAGAAGAGGGTGGGTGTCGCCCTGATCGGATTGGATTGAACGTGGAAGAAACGACTGCTCCTGCAAGGCGAATTTATGATAAACTTGGTTTTTTGCCTGTTCATACTATTTTAGAAGGAGAGTTTGTTGCGGAGAGTTTGTTGCTGCATGTAGATGAACCATAGTAAACAGTATTCTGTATTTTTTTATGTTGCTTTACCCTGCGTTCCCAACATAATAGACTTTCTACTCTCTCTCCGCACTTTCGATTTTAAAAGGTTTTACGATATAATGGATATAATAGCGCGGATATGCTCCCAATACGTTACCGAATAGATTCAGCGCAACCAAGGAGAGCACCATATTGTGCATTTCCCTACCCCTCTTCTTTTTTGTATGTTTTTTCTAATGTGGTTTCCTGATGTCTATAGATGTAATAGTTCAGACCTCCTTTTAAGGGGCCTGGCAATAGATTCAAAGCAACCAAATGGACCTAGTTTCACACCACGGTGGATGGTATTGAGATCCGTAGAGTCCATCACTGTGTCTTAGTTACCCCAGCTGCCCCAGCCGCTCCAAGTGTCCGCTGAGCTGACCCAGCCTCCAGTAGACGGAGGGTCATTTTTAGCCGCTCTGGGGCAAACTCCAGTAGCAGCGCTCTGCTTGATGATATCCGCCGCCTTCTCGCTCATCATATACGTAGGAGTCGCGATAAAGAAACCGGGAATCTTTGGCCAAACAGAGGCATCAACAATACGAAGACCGTTCACACCGTGGACCTTGAAGTTATTGTCGACAACAGCAGTGGGATCTGAGGCTTTTCCCATTTTGGCTGTTCCGCAGGCGTGGTGGCCCCAAGAGTTTTGTTTGATGTAGTTAACAATATCAGCGTCGGTTTTAACGTTGGCGCCTGGGAAGATCTCGTGGTCGACGTACTGACCGTGAGTAATAAGGTTTCGAACCTGTTTAACTGCACCTGCAACGGTCAAAAGGTCTGTGTCTCCATCCGCGTAATACTTGAAGTCGATCGCAGGGGTGTCGCGGTAATCAGTGGAGGTGATCGTGACAGTACCCAAAGTGTTGTTGGTGTGTGCTTTTAGAATGAGGAACGAGAACACGTTTTTGCTATCCGCAATTTCCTGAGGGTAACCTTTGATGTAGCCGTGGAAGTTGAGCGGTCCACCAAAGATGTAAAGGTCAGGATCGGGAACGGTTGGTACGGAGCGTTGGGTTATTCCGAGGAAAACTCCGTTTGTACCGTAAATGCTGCTTTCCCACTTTTTGGCAGCGCACGTCGAGGTCAAACCTCGCTTGTAAGCAGTGAAACATGGATCGTTCGGATCCGCGGTGAATTTACAATTCTTGAGTAGCTCCCAGTCCTGCTTCATGGCAACGTTTACGGAAATCTCGTACCGATCTTGAAGGTTCTTACCTACACCGGGAAGGTGAAGGCGAGGTTGGAATTTTTCAGCACCTGGACCACCCTCCTTGCTCTTGTATTTTTGTAGGTCGTTCATATCGCCAATACCCGATAGCTGAAGAATCTGCGGGGTGTTGAAAGTACCAGCGGAGAGGATAACTTCACGCTTTGCGCGAACAGTACTAAGCGGTAATGGCTTTATATTGCTAGCAAGAGGAGACGCACGGTAGAGGGCTCGACCTTGAGTGTACTTGACACCTCGGACATTGGTACCATCGATGTCAAGGGATGTGACCAGAGTGTTTGTCCAGATGGTGAGAGGGCGAATGAATGGCTGTTTGTTTGTCTTCTGGTCATCTCCGCTGAGTTTACAAATAGGATCGAGCGATGCTTCTCGTTCGAGCTCATCTTGAATGAGTTGATAGACGGAGCTTCTCTCCCTACGGGGAGTCACAGCTGTCGGCACCAGGTGCCATCCTTCGGCACTTGTTCCGCCTGGTGCATTGACGTCGCCTCCAGGGGTACCGGGAACGGTACTAACCAGGTCAGTGAACAGACTAACGAGCTGCGGGTCTGGAGGGTTGTAGAGTAGAGACATGTCTGGAAGCTGGGTTTGCAACCATCCATTGTATCCATGACCGTTGTCAGCACTGCCATCGTCGCTGCAGAATGAGTTGCTGGTCTCGAGACGTTGGAACAATGGGCGCATATTCTCGTCGCGGAACTAAGGAAAGCGATGCATGCAAAGATTAGAACATTTGGCGCAGAGAGAAATCAGGAGATTGTAATTATAAACCTACCGAAGAATCATTGAAAGTTTTGGCGATTGAGTTCCAATCAGACGGGTGCGGGTACATGTGAATCATGGCTAAGAAGAATGACTTATCAGTTAGATGCAGTTGAAGCAATCAGGTGGTATTCAGACATACATACCATTGTGTACTGTGCACCCTCCCAAAGAACTGACTCGGGGATACCAAACTTTATCACGCTTCGGAAGACCCTGGGAGATGGAATAGTCCCAAGCAATGTTGGGATCTTCATTTGATCGAGCGTGGAAAGCCGGAATAGTGGTATTGTTGGATTCATAATCGGAACCAGCTTCAATGAGAAGAACGGCGAAACCTGCGCGAGCGAGACGAACGGCTAGAGGTCCACCTCCGGCCCCACTGCCGACAACTAGTATCAAAATCAGGGTTAGAAGGTGAAGGCGGCCGTGAGCAACTAGGGGTGAGCCTACCGATATAATCAAAGTTTGCGTCCTTGGCCACACCATCCCCACTGCATTTTAAAGCGGGATATCCAGCAGGAGAATAGGAACTGCATGCGGGTGTGGACGCGCGGGCAGCTACATTTGATATCATCAATTTCAATTGACATGTACAACGTCCAAAGTCGTCGCTTAAGTACCTAAGTTGGGCTTTGAAACAGCAGCCGTGCTGGTCGTAGCTAGACCCAAAGCCAAGGCTGCAACAGCTCCGAAAGTCAATGTCTTCATTTTTGAGTTATAGTGGTATTCAATCCCTGATATCTGAAGACGAAGAGGGGGCCTGTTCGATTCCTGGGGATATTTTGGTCCCTCGTTCTTTTATGCGCTTCATTGGTAGATAGCTTGCGTACCAGAAACAGAATGCTCACGCCGTCCACCCACAAACAGACCAGTGCATCTGTTGATAAAACATTCGTTGCAAACAATGTTACCGGCGTTACCTCAAGCATAGTTCTAAACAGTGAACAATAGTCTATATTTATGTTCTTGGTGTTTTCAATCTTCATATACCAACAGAGAATGGCGTCCTGAGAAGTGGTTGTGAGGAACCAGCCCTGTCACTATTTGCAGGCCGTGGATCCATTTACCGACATAAAGCATTCTAAAAATAGAGTGAACTTTACTCGATGCATCCCAGGTGTCTGGGTTTGCCTTACCCGCCTCGTCAATATTGTCCGAAATGACATTTCAATGTTTGGCATTTAGCATGGCAAGGAGCAAGAAAAAGATGCTGTACTGAAATGTGAATGTTGTCTCTTTTCATCCTACTGTCAAGGCGGAAGGAATTCGGAGGGGTGATGAATATGTCCCGTTTCATCGCGAAGGTATTTTCAATATACTGCCGTAACATTTAACTTCCGGTGTAAATACGACCCAAAGTGCATCGTTCCAGTGGTTTCTGTGAAGCAACACTTACAGTTGTTTCAGTAAGTGGTTAAGTTCCTCCACAACCTAGGCCCAATCACGAATGCATTCACATAGAGAGGAGCAAACACCTGGGAAGGGTTAACGCCAAGCTACAAGTGCAGGTATCATCGCTTTAACAGATCGATATAATCATCCAGCTCAAGAAGCGGTCCTAACAAGTAAATTGTATCAAACACATAATAGAAGGATTCAGTAAAGAGAAATCTTTACCAGCGCTAAATGACCACTATGGTTTACTAGACTACTAAACATTATGCTTTACCTCTTGAGCAGGTAAACATGACAGCCGAAATTCCTTAAACTTTGGACCTACCACATCTGCCTCATCAACCAAATTGGGCCCGCACCGCAACTTGGCTACTCAAAAGCTAGTCAGATTGCGACGCTTTGTCGAACAAAAGCGCATTAGGCAAATATATCAAGTAGTAAAACTACCAGGATACGGATTATATTCCCGCACCAAACGGCTTGTAGGACGTATTAGAATATACCAAAAAGCACAATGGGTACGGATCCTCTGCCGCCAATCCCACCCTAAGGACCCTATTACCTCTCCTCCATCTGAGACCGTTGCCTTAATATGCTACATCCCTTCATCGAGGTGATACGCTGCGTCTCCTCAATGTACCAGTCCATCCACATCACCCGCTCCGTAAGGTGCTGCAAAGCTCATGGAGCCGCGGTATTCAGACAGAAGGTGCCTCTTAAAAGTCGGACGAATGCTAACTGCGCGGATAGCGTGATTAGGGCAAGGGGATGAAGCTGTACCGAGCCGGAGACTGGTAGCAGCCATTATGGCATTCATGTATCATAATGGATGGATGTTGAGTATGCTCGCGGATTTATCCACAAAGGTGTTCGATAAGGATTCATGGTTTTTCCGACACTTTACTCCTTCCCCGCAAGTCCAGGTTCTGCCTGCGACTGATCGAAGCGCTGCAAGATCCCGTTCAAGCTGTTCCTCAATGCGTGCATGTTTGGAGTTCGGAATCCAGCAGCAATTTTGTGGCGGATCGTACGAAATCAAGCTTTGCGGGAACCAACTGGGACGGAGATGGTAGCCATGCATTCCTTGGCCATGAATTTGATATCAACGTTGGAAAAAAGTGGGTGGACTGTATTGCTTCTGTTGAGATTAGCAGTGCGCATGGGCCAAATGGTACTTCTCACGGGGATTTGGAGAGCTGGGTTTTAAAGACGATGTGGATCTTTGGTATATGATGGTGCCGTATTTCAGAGGGTAGAGATGCTTTTTGCCGCCTTCCTAATGTGAAAAGATTGATGATGAGATGTTCCGTTTCGGGTACATATTAATGGATATAACCTGGAACTGCTTGCGGATCGCTACTTCCAGTTTCTGTATTTAAGATATCAATGAAGATAACCTAAATGTCCTCAAGCAGACTCGGCAAATCGGCCGGTTCCAAACTCTATATGATGTGAATGTATATTAGAAGGTTCAGCGGACCTGAAAACAGCTTCCAAGAAGATACAAAATGTCATCCGTCGTCAGAAACCTCCAATGGCGGACGATCTACGAACCAGATACCTGCCGCTAGAGGGAAACGAGAAGCACTTTGTAACAACCTTCCCATCGAACCATGCATGCAAAGAACCAAAGATGTGGAAAAGGTCTTTTGCATTAGCAAACAACATTTCCGCATCTGATCAGTGATGCCTTCAATCTCAGGAGTTTCCTTGATTGATCGGATGTCTATTCAGAGTCCTCTATATAGATCTTTTCCTAGTGGTAACGATTCTCCTTTTTCGAATCACTATCGAACGTCTCCTTCAACACCCTTGATATGAGAATGTGTTGGTACGTCAAAGAGTGAATATGCTTCAAGCATTACTGAGGGACAAATACTCTCCGAGTCGGCAGCATGAACTTGACCAGAATGCTCAACCGATCTGGTAACCGATCTTGGACAACTGACTGATCATAATTGTGCTTATCGCTTGGAGTAAGCATTTGTAGAAGGCCCTTCCCAATCTTCAGCGCAGCTCATAGCATTAGACAGACAGTATGTATATTTCGACAACCTACAGAGCAGAAACATGACAATCCCCTATTCAATGCTCTGTATTGGTACTCTGACTCTCGCTGCACGTCGGCCCACTCTCAAAGTGAACTTTCCTGCCGCTCTTGTCCTCGCAAACTATGGTATCTTCCACAATTGGCAATTCGCCTGTAAGGGGATTGGGTGTCGGGGCAGCTGCCATGTGCTGCATGCGTTGTCCAGCCTCAACGGCCGCCCGGTCGCCACCTAGTTGCGTGGTGTAGAATTGAAGTCCGGCTTCCGAGTTGAATTGAGACATGGGGTTGGATCGAGCATGTCGTCCGCCTCCGCCTTCAGCCCCTACGGGGTCGTGCACGGCTATGCGAGCGCCCGGTGAGTGTGCTTTCTTTTTTTCGCCAGTCATTATTGCGCTTGTGGAGATCCTGTCAGGTAGAGAATATCTTCCTGGCAAAGTGCAATCGTGTATGAAGTTTGAGAAGCTGCATTTTGTGACCTAAAAGATTGGACAATTTACGTAAGGGCACTTTGGACGAGGGACTTGCAACGTCTTTGGACAAATTGCAAGCACCATCAGATACCATTCTCAAATAAAGTATGGGTTTGGATATGCCATGTCATTTCACCTGAAAGACAAAAGTTCATTTACCGGTCGTCAAAGTCCATCTTACCACTGCAACTCAATTGTCAACTCTATATTTCTTGTTCCAAGGTTTATGCATCCCACGCAGAACCCCCATTTCCCTTGAGGTTCGTTGTTTCCTTGGGTTTACTTTGCCTGGAAGTCCCCTCTGGGTGCTTACGGGCTTTTAAGGATGCGGTCCCATCTTTGGACACAAAAAGCGCCCAAATACGTGCTTAGAAGGCCCGAGCAAAGCGCGCGACTTTACAACCGAACTTTGGCAATTTGGGGACATCTCTTTCTTTGGGACCTCATTTAACTGTTTTTACTTGTCTTGTTCGTCTTCTTCTTTTACTCCCATTCCGGCTGTTGCTCCCGAATCACAACTACAAGTCGTTATTTTGACGTTCAACGTTATCCACCAGCTCTTTTTGTGTACCTCATACATTCACCCACGTTTTGCAACGCTGCCGAAACTCCCAATAGCCACACCTCTTAAGAGCTAATTGTAGACAGTGTCGCATGCCCTGCCATGACTCCTTTCTTCCCTTCCGGTTCCGTAGAGCACGACAACGACGAACCGCCAAGTCGTCGCCGCACTCGGTTTGCGTCTGATTCCTTCTCCATGCCCCGCCCTCCAAGCGATTTACTGTGGGAAAATGGGGCTTTTGACGAAGAAGTATCTGGAATATTGCGCGAGGATGACGGTGGGAAGCGAGTGTCGTTTGCCCCTACGTTAGCCTCTCTTCCTATTGTGGAGGAAGTGAATGGTGCAAACACGGCAAACGAGGTGGCGGAGACTGATAGCGAGGCTTCATCGGACTCTGAACCAGATGAGCGCACACCCGTACTTCCAACATTTATCCGCCGTCCACGCCCACCCCTTCGCAGCGCAACCACCATAGAGACGGATTCGTCACGCCGAAATACCTGGCATCCATTCACACTCCCACGGATAGCCTCAGGCCCCAGATCAGCCACCAGCCGTCAGAGCATCTGGGGCTACGGCTCAATAGCGACGGAAAGCACAGACGATGAAGCACAATTAAGAAGGCCCTCTCGAGCCCGGGCTCAATGGCGAAAGTCCTTCATCTTCTCCAAGCGTAAGAGCGCGGTCTATGACGATGAAGGGACTGACAATGTCATGGGAACCGGGATGAGAGTGTGGTATGAAGATTATACGACGATTGACTGGATACACGACACAGTCAAGGAACGTGTACGGCTCCGCTCTCTTCGCAGTATACCAGGATTGAAAGGACGGTTGATGAATCATCTGGATGCGGCACAAGCATGGATCTTGCTCGCCTTGATTGGAATAGCATGCGGGTGCATTGCCTCTTTTATCGACATTGCATACACCTTCCTGTCGGACTTGAGAACCGGCTACTGTGGAACCGATATCTGGAGAAGCAGACGCAGCTGTTGCGTTGCTTCGTCATCTGGTAAGCGTGAGAGTTCACATCTGCCCTCAAGTTTTTATAGCATTAATGGACCCTTTCACAGAAATATGCACAAGTTGGGTTACATGGCCTGACCATTTCAATCTACATCCCATCTCCCCGTTTACCCACTACACATCTTATATCATGTACACCGTTACCGGCATATTATTTGCAACGGCTTCCGCACTGGTCGTAAAGCTCTCAAAGACCGACTCCACCTCGTCGTCATCAGGCGAAGGAGCATCGAGCGAACCTTCGTGGGTGACTACGGCCAGAGCACAGCGGGGCCTGCGAAGAAGTAGAAGCAGAGACCACAGTATGAAACAGCAGAAGAAAGTGAAATACCATGCTGCTGGAAGTGGAATACCAGAAGTGAAAACTATCCTTGGCGGCTTTGTTATAAGAGGATTCTTGGGATTTAGAACGCTGGTTGTCAAAGTTTTTGCTTTGGTAAGGAACTGTTTGAGGAGTTGCCAAGATGTAATCACTGCTAACATGACATGCGCTTTGATTTGGTTAGATCCTCTCCATTTCATCAGGACTTGTCATTGGCGCACAAGGACCGTTAGTCCACATTTCTTGTGCTGTGGGTAATGTCTTATCCAGAATGTTTAACAAGGTAAGTCATGTCTCCACTTCATGTATTGCCATGAATCCTAATCAGAATTTCTTCGTTGCAACGAATAGTACGCTAAGAATGAAGGAAAGAGGCGTGAGATTCTCTCTGCAGCATCTGCCGCCGGAGTGTCTGTCGCTTTTGGAGCGCCGTTGGGTGGGGTCCTGTTCGCATTGGAAGAAGTTAGCTACTACTTTCCGCTGAAGACAATGTGGAGAAGTTTCTTTTGCGCACTTTGTGCTGCCGGTACCGTGCGACTCATCAATCCTATTGGATCTGGGAAAGTTGTCCTGTTCCAAGTGGAGTGGGAGGGTGACACCCAATTAGGAGGCGTCTGGAGAGTGTGGGAGATTATCCCGTTTGCGCTGGTTGGCATTTTAGGGGTGTGTACCATTGTGTGATTTCCTGGTAAATGGTTTGAGAACTAACAGCATCCTAGGGAGTTTATGGTGCATTGTTCGTACGATTGACCGCGGCATGGTCTCGTATCCGAGCACGTTCGTGGTTTGGCAGACGGCATGTTTTGGAGGTGTTCATCATCGCTGCCATAACTGGGGCGGTTAGCTTTCTCTGGGATTTGACAAGGTAAAGGAGGCATCTTATCGGGCCTACACCGCATTCCAAAGTTTAACAATGTGCGTCACAGAATGGGCAATGGCGAACTTGTTGGAGAGCTCTTTGCCCAATGTACATCTTCCACAATGAACTCGCCACTTTGTCGCACGAAAAGTATCTCATCTACACTTGAAATTCTCGCGATCACACTTGCTGTAAAGGTTGTGTTGACGGTCATCACGTTCGGCGTGAAGGTGCCAGCCGGCATTTTCATCCCTTCCATGTGTGTCGGAGCTTTAATGGGACGCATGGTCGGAGTTTCCGTTCAATGGATAGTTGGGACGTATCCTGATTATTGGATGTTTGACTCATGTCGAGGAGAGAATCTTGGTGTGTTGGGTGGGCCGTCTTGTGTTGTACCCGGTGTCTACGCGGTTGTTGGTGCGGCTGCTGCCGTTAGTGGGGTTACGAGAATGACAGGTAATTGACGGCTATCCAGGATGATCGCATTGATGAAACTAACTTTTGCTCTCCAGTATCATTAACGGTCATCATTCTCGAATTGACGGGTTCTCTTCCATCCCTCCTCCCGGCTATGTTGAGCATCATGCTTGCAAAATGGGTAGGTGATGCCATTGCTCCGATGGGTCTCTACGAGACTGCCATCTTCGACAGTGGGTATCCGTACCTGGACGCAAAGCGCGGTGTGCGAGCAAAGGGGGGCAAAGGATGGACTGTTGTGGATGTGATGGAAGCCGGAAAGAAAAGAGGAAAGAGCATTGCCGTTATTAGATGTGGGACAAAGTACACCATTGATGATTTGGAAAGTTTGGCAAAGGGAACTACCAATGCAGGAGCCAGATCCGGCCGATCAGCTGTCAATAATGGGCAGCAGGAAGATGGCGGATTCCCGGTTGTTGAAGGAAGCGATGTCCTAGTCGGATACATTGCAACTCCAGAGTTGCTCCACGCCATACACCTCGTCAAAACATCCCCAAACCCCATGTGGCCGATTATCTTCAAACGTCCCCCTCCTGTGGCCAGTGTCACCGAGCGAGATAAAATGATGTCCCAGGTGGAACGGATTGTGGATCTGGAAGGATTGCTAAATGCAGTCGCCAGCAGTGCAGGGTTAGGCGGCAGAGGGAGAAGTCCCGTCGGAAGAGGAGGCTGGAGATCACCAACCCTAGAACATAGCATCGAGCGAGGATCAGCACAATCTCTGATCAGACCATCGTCGCCACCTACACAAGCGCCTTTACATCCTATTTCATACACACCTGCCACAACACCCAGCCTCACCCCACGAACCCCACATGAGCCTATATCACCAGAATCCAGCGATACGGAATCTGAGGTTCACGATTTCACACCATGGATGGACACTGCCCCGCTTTCCGTCCCACACACCACCTCCCTAGATCTAGTTCACGAGCTTTTCGTAAAGTTGGGGATAAAGACCCTCTGTGTCGTATGTGATGGGAAATTGGTCGGCGTGGTGCACAAAAAGGGTGTTGTTGCATTTGTAAGAGAGGTTAGTGAGCGTAGTGGAGAAGGAGATTGATTTAGTAGTTAGTTGCGAGAGACAGTTGTGATCGTGTTTAGGTTATGTCGCTTGTTTCTAGTGCTTGTGATGCATAGACTATTTTCCTTTTTCAATAATAATTAATCTTGATGCAAGATGTTAGAAATACCGCTGCTAATGTACAGCTGCAAGCGATGGCGGTCTGCGCTGGCAAGGTTTTTTGAAAGGAAAAATGGCAAAAATACAATTAATACCCCAAATTGAAGCATCACAAATGCTACGACAACAGATTTTGCTAAGAAACAATCCACCCTTTTAGCTCATACCCCCTCAATATGTTCATCAAGGTCCATGCCGTTTTGCGCAACTCTTTTCATGTACTCTACAACGCTCACCACCCTCTTTTGACTCGCACACCAACGTGCAAAGACGGTCATCAACCCCGCATTTGCATTAATAGCATGCATAAAGTCCCCAACGACCAGTAACTCTCTTTTGGCTCTGGACAACATGACGTTTATCCTCTGTCGATCACTCATGAAACCTACACCATCCGTTCTGACAAGAGAAGCAAAGACAATATCCGCTTCATGTCCTTGAAAGGAATCAATATTGTAGCATCGTTCACGACATGCGTAATCACGATGTGTGAATTTGTTTCTGAGGAGGGCACGGTGGGCATCGTATCCCGTCAAAATAGCAATACGAGAAGGTGTTTCGTAGAGTCGACGAACGGATATCAATCGATGAATAACAGTAGCTTCTCCTTGATTGGTCCAAGAGTGGCCTTGCTTTTTTTGACGGCCACTGACGTTTACCCAGAGTACACTGTTTGTATTGTCTTCTGGTCGGGATTCAGGTGTAACGAGTCCTATAGGTTTATACACGTTTTCGGATAAAAAGTTTGCGAGGGGTCGTGGGAGGCGGTATTGGGTTCGTAGATGGATGGAGGAGACTGTTTTCGGTAAGGTTTCTTTGAGGGGTTCCAGGGCGTCAAAGGCGTGGAATACGTTTGTTACTTGGAAGCCGAATGGGGGGAGTTGGTGTTCGTCTCCGAGAAACACTACCTAAAGTTTAAAGTCGGTTAACACAAAACTAGTACGATTTTGCGATTATGAATCAACGACATGACCTTTTCCAATGTGGGCAACTGGGAAAGTACCCAAGGGTAAGCAGCTAAATCCGCTTGACTAGCTTCATCAACCAACAGCCATTTCACAATTCGGTTCTTGAGAACCCGTGTCATCATCTTGGCGTTACTCATCATACTCAACGTACACAAAAACACACAGCTCTCTTGCGCTTTTTGGTATGGACGTGCCCGTGAATTCTCGGGTATCCTTTTGCTAATGACGATCCGGTCCGAAAATTCGAAATATTGGCCTTCGTGCCATTCAAAGTAGAAATCCTCTGACACAACCGTTAAGAACTGGGTGTGCCCGGTGCGATGGAGCTTTTCTGCAACGTTTTTTACTGCAATGTTTGAATTGGCTACGACGAGGAGGACGGGGAACTGAGGCTTTTGTTCGTTGGGCAGTCTGGTGAAGATTTTGGAGAGAATGCTTGCGGTGGTGCTGATGACGGTGGTTTTTCCCGTCCCAGGTGGTCCATGGACGTAAATAAACAAAGCGGGAAATTCGTGTTTTGGAGCAAAAATCATTTGAACGGCGGAAGCTTGGGCATTGTTGAGTCCAAAAAAGTTGACTCCTGCAAGATCGTCTTCGTCGTCCCCATATGGAATGTATACCTCTGGACCATCGATCCTTGTTTCATCTGACTGTTTCTGGATCGTTATCGGCTGCTGATGAACGTCGGGCTTGTACATGTCCAGCTGCGTCGTGTAGAGGCGTGTTAGCGGCGACAACAGTGTCTCAGTAAAGACGTTGAGTAGACTCATGTCTCCCGACAACAGTTTTTTGAGAAAAATGCACAGCGTTGTATCACCAGATAATCCCTTTTGCGTCGGAAGTACAATGATCTGCACAACCTGATCAGGATCAATCGATGGGGTAATAAACGCTGATTTTCCTTTGACGATTCTAATGTCGCCGGGGACTTCACACCCATCTTGCAGCTGGATGGTCACTTTATCGTTTTCTCGCACGCGGGTTGCAAAACGGCTTTGCTGAACTTTGAGGTACCGTTGACCCCACATGTCTTCGTTACTCAGATGATCATATTCGCATTTATATGGATTACGACCACCTCCCGCAACTCGAGTTGTCGTAGTAGCAAGGAACATGCACATGGGAAGATACTTTTCGTTGAGCTCGGTGATTGCGTATGATGTGTCTTGCACAGGTGCGGTTGACCATGAGCAGCGTTCAATAAAGGCGTTGTACGACAGGATGGCCAGACTGACAAAATGCCGAAATTCTTCATTCGTCGACAAGTCGATATCCATGGCCGTTTCATCCGCTCGTGCGTTCTTTGCTACTTGTAAAGAGTCATTTACCCTTGGCGGCACATGCGCATCGTAAGCGCTGGTACTTTTTATCCCCAGATCTTTATAGAGAAGTAAAATGGAATACCAAATCTCGGTGCCTACAATGATCTTACTTGAGTCTGATAACCATGCGTCCAGGGCTGCAACCGGGTCTTGCATCACTGGGTTGGAGATGTGGATTCGAACTTGTAGCAGCGGATCGAACGGTTCTGGGCGTCGATGTTGCTTCCCTACTGCAATGGACAGGCATCTTGTTCCACTCGCAATATGTATCAAGATGGTTCTTTGGTCTTCGTTCTGAACTGCCAGTCCGTAGATTCCAGAGATGCTTGACAAGCCTCCAGGTAATGGGCCCCGCTGTTCGTCCAGCCAATCTAAATGTGACTCTGTAAGATTCTGTAGAGACAAAAACCAAACCGTTGCTTGTCTCGGGTCGGGGACATATTCCGCAAGTGGGATTTCATATACTTCTCCGGGGTCAAAACTCTCCTCTGGAATCTCCGCATCTAAATCCTCATCATTAGAACCATCGTTGAAACTGTAGCCGTCGGGAAAAGTACGATGTGGGGATGACTCTAGGGCTTCAGGTTGGTTGTCCCAGATGTGGCAGGTGAATGTGACCATGTTTGATTGTTCTGCGAGTGCGAAAGAAGGAGCTGCTCGAGGTCTGAACGATAGCACAGCTTTTGCAAAAGGCGATCAAGTTAAAAATAATAGCGCAAACAGTTTTCTTCTGCCAAGCTCTACCCAAACAGTAGGGCATCATCATTTTTCGCGGAAACTTTCATACAGCAATAGGAATGGGAATAAAGCTTAACGCAAGTCACCAGGACTCATATTACATAAGCCGATCACATATTATAAACAAACAATTAGGTATGATATCACTAATCTAAGGTATACGAAAGAGTACTCCTACAAGGTATTGATAAACTCAAAGCATTAATTAAATATTGATAGGCCATCAAATAGGTTCAAAAGAATCAACGTCGTCGCCGCATTTGAAACCACTTTTGGACTTCGGCCAATGTCCAGCCAATGCCATGTGCAATGTCCATCATCACATTGTTCGTTGGGTATCGCTCTTCATAAAATTCCTGTTCCAATGCTTTTTCTGCTGTCTCTGAGGGAGAGCACGGGAAACTGGGGTCTTTGCGGCCTTTGGACTTTGGACCGGTCGGGCGCTTGGCTTGTGGGTCACGGTAAGGCGTACAGCGTGCTGTGGTGCTTTTCCTGCCCTTTTGGGGAGTTCTAGGGTGACGCTTGGTGTTTGACAATGGTGAAGTGGCTGAAATAGTATCTACTGTAACTCTTGGCGTGAGGCCGGCCTACCCCATCACGGAAGAATGAGACAAAAACGTGACAGTGGAGCAAAAAACAGTGTCATTCCAAACGAAAAAAAGATACATACCTGAAACGCTCGATTCTTTCTCATAGAAACAGGTTCATTTACAAGACCTCCAGTCAGAAGCCACCATTGCCCAGCTCCCATCCCAAATCTGGAACACCCCTCCGGCAAGCCCGTAGGATCATTACGGAAAGTCGCACCTCCACAATCATCACTTGACTTGAATTTGCCTTCTTCACAGGAATCCGAAACGGGGCTCATGGAGCGCATGGCCAATTCTGATGCCAAAAAATGTACCCGACGAGGAGGTTTGATGAAAGGCGGTGATGGTGAGAGGCAAACGAGAGGGCAATCAAGCAGATCAATGTCGGGGACCAGAGTATCAGAATCAAACTCGTTTGCTCTGCCCTCAAGATCAAGACAAGTTGCTTCCGTGTGAAGATCTAGTTCATCTAGTGTGAATGTCCCAGTCCATTAGACTCTTTTTGGTCTAATGGATGAAGGCTTAGTCATCATGTTCTGTGCGTAAGCATTGCCCCATTGTTGAAGCTAAAACCTAATCCTTCTTAATGACGAACCTACTTCACTTGCGGGAGACACGGCTTGGGTTGGCAGTCATAGCGGACACCCATATTGCGTTGCATGTGTGTACTTAGATATCAGACGTTGGAAGAACGGCAACGTATGCCAAATGTAGGGTAACGTAAGGCATGAACCCGCAATTCTAATGAAAACCTTAAGCGATATGTACAATCATCATGTCTCCCTAAATGAATATCATACAATCCCCCCCCCCTCCTTCTCTCTAATACTTCCATCTTTATTTTTTTTTTTCTTTTCGCTATGGCAGCATTGTCCGTAACATTCAAGCCGAAAATGCCAACTTTGGCGGAACCCAAACCTCATCGTCGCTGCCCCCTGACGACGGCCAAGACATTGACCTCCTCCTTCCAAAAGCTTCAAGTGTCATTTCCGCCAACTTGTCCATTGTCAAAGCCTCTAAACAATTATTGACGTTTCCTTGTTCATCATATACTGTTGGAAACGCGGCCGAGCATCTCCATTCCCCGTCAACGACAAACTTGAATGCCCATGACCGGGTCCGGTCAAGAGATAGTGTGATGGCGAATTCGTCGTAGCACGCTGGATCTCGTGGTAATGGGATAGAGACGGCCCAGCCGTCAAATTCGCCAGTCAGAAACACTGTTTTGGCGGAGGAATGATGCCATCGGAAAATGACTTGTTGGTGGGTAACGATGCGGCGGGGATACGAGAAAGGTGAGAGTGGTGGGGAGGATGGAGACAGGCTTGGCGATAGTGGTGTAGTAATGTACGGCGGCATGACGAAAGTAAAAAGGTGGTTTGGGGCGCCGTGAAAACGTCTTGACAATATATGGACTTTAAAAGTTCGGATATATGGATGAACTTCAGTAAACAATGGAAATTCCCCGTGCCTTCAACAACCCGTGTCCAAAAACACACACACACACACACACACACACAAGATGGCAAACAAGGCAACACGGGCAAAAAGGTCTCGTTCGTTTTGATCCCGCAATGTGACAAAATCCCCTTATCGTCACGCGTGCTCAGTCAACACAAATAATCGTATCTCACAAATGTTGCATTTGCCTCTCGAACAAGTGTTGTTTATCCGAGTCAACCAAACAAAAAATGATCGATCGTGAAAGGCCCAAAAGTGCGAGGTTGCGAGACAAAAAGGGCTTGTCGTGAACCAGAGGAAAGATACGGGAAAATGAAAGATGACGGGGGACAAGTAGGGAGGCGTTTGTTCAAAAGGATATTTTATATACTCTAGTAAAAAGCACCCAACCCGTGCATTGCACTTGCAATAGAATTCTCGGCTCCTTTTCTGTTCACAAATTAGTACGAGTGACAAAAACGAGAACTGTCGTCATCTTTGCTAACAAAAACGTGTTGGATCATAGAGTAGAAAAATCAAATAAAAAGATTGTGTTGTGCTGTGCTGATGCTGCTTGCAAGTAATAAAATCGCATGCGTAGCAAAAAAACGAAACGGTCAAAAGACAAAAAACTGAATAAAACAAAACCTCGTTTGGAGTGTTCCGTCATTTGACGAGTGTTCATTTCCAGTCAGAACTCGTCTTGCGCATGAGTGATGATGACTCTTCTAATCCAGGAATTCGGGTCTAGATCCATGAAATTTTGTCTTACGTCATGCAATTGGATTGGAATGTTGTACAAATTGGGGTTAATAATACCCGAGTCGTACCATGGGCTTAGCTTGGCGAAACGAGATCGGACAAGCTTACGAGATTTTGCTTGTTTTGAACGGACAGGTTTTGACATGGTCGAGAGTTGATTTGTTCCTTTCATTTTACTACATCTTTCTGGTCGAGTATTATGCATCTTTTATCTACTACATCTTTCTCACTTTATATGTAACAACCGGTCGCAGAGTCGCAATCACCCTTCCAACATTAGCTTCAACCAAATCTTTCACAACACTATCAACCTCCTTGTAGCATTCCGGAGCTTCCTCATACAATAAATCCTTTTCATCACAGACAACCACGCTTCCCAGATGCGTTCGTCGGAGTCCTTCCATGGCTTGTGGTGTTTTACCATACTTTGATGGTAAGGACGCGAGGGCCTTTTTACGGGTCGTGGTGCGGCCTGCACCGTGGGCCAGGGAATTGGCGGTATGGGGTTGAGCTGTTGGGTTTGGTAAAAAGAGGTAGGAAAAGCTGCCTCGTGAACCGGGAATAACGCAAAGACCTCGATCAGACGGTGCGGCGCCTTTTCGGTGGATAAACTGGGTTTGTGTATCCGTTGACACCATTTCCATCCAATTGTGGCACATGTCCAAGAGTTTTCTTTCCGGATTGGTGTTTAGACGGGAGAGAAGACGTTGAGCAATTAGATCCCGGTTCCGTGATGCCCAGCGCATGGCCATGTTGTGATCAGAGAGGTAGGCGGTTAGTTCGGATGAAGGGTAATTTAGAGGGACTGTTGGAGCTGATGCATGCTTTGCAAGAATAGATGGACCAAGGGCTCGTGATCCAGAGTGCACTTTATATTGTCAAAATTGTGATATGATGAGTACCATTTTCACGAAAAAAATCACTCAAAATCCTTTCAACCCACCAAGTAAAAGAGCCTTCCCAACATCAATCCCAAGATCCCGAAGCATCCCCTCATCCTCAACATGCTCCACCACTTGAATCTCTGCAAAATGGTTTCCAGCTCCAACCGTTCCAAGCTGGTCATCAAATGCAGTAGGGGACACGTTTGCTTCTGCAAGCCAGTCGATTGTACACCCATCCAACCACGGGCCTTCAATATCACGAATCTTTTGTGCGGTTTTCTCTGGTGACAAGTTACATCCGAGTGATGTCGTAAAGAGCGACATACCACAACCTAATCATATCAACATTAAACAAAACGCACAATCCCACCATTGAAAAGCCAATAAAAAAACGTACCAACATCACTCCCAACCAAAGCAGGATACGCACACCCCTCAGAAACAACCACAGCACCAATCGGAAACCTATTCCCAGGATGAAGATCCGGCATACCCACTACACGTACAACCCCATCAAGGTTACATAAAGCCTTTAATTGACTCGTTGCGAGAGGATCGATTTCGACATGGTGCGCGAGGATCGTCACTGGGATATCGTTTGTGTTGGTTTGGGGTTTTTGGGTTCCGATATAGTCTTCTCCGGCTGATACGAGTATGACACTACACACCAAAAACACATCCATGAGAACCAAAATACTTGCGATCAAAAAGGGATGGATAACCGTACCCATCATTCTCAAGCCTCCTCCAAAGATCAAGATCATGACCCCAAACCTCAGTTCCATCAGCCAAAAACACTCGACAGGCTCTCGTCAATCGTAACTTTGTTTTCGCAAATTGGATAATGCGTTGCCTGAATTGTGTCATCTCTTTTGTTACTATTGAACAAGATGCGTTGGTGAGGTCAGGTATGGAAACAAGAACGACCGTCCGTTGTTGTTGGTTGGAATTCTTGGCAAGCGTGAGACGTAGTGATGGCATTTTGCTGGTGTTTGGCTTGCCGGTTTTTTGTATAGCGTTTGTGGGTACGTTCGGGGATATTGAATTGCTGGGATTTATTGGATTCAAAAACCGTACACAATAAGCTAGAACCCTACATGAGTCGCCAAAACCAAAGTCATATTCCTTTTATTGTGCAAAAGTGTGACTTTACCGCGCAAGTGGCACAGTAATCCGATACATCACTCATCCTCAATAACAAAAACACACACATTTCAACTCACATATATTGATAATTTAACAGCCATCATCAAAAAAAGAAACAACAAAAAACTATAAAAACCCATCAATGCAAGCAACAAGAGCGAGAGGAACTACACCAATAGATGAAATAAAGATACTAACATATAAGAGATACCCCCTCTCTCCGGTCCTGCACAAAAAAGGAATCCACCCCTCTGAAAAAATAACAAGAAATACACAGCGAAAAAAAAAAAAAATATATCTACCTCCTACATAAAACTTTCCAAGATACTGCAAAAAAAGAAAGCGAGACAAGTACTCAAAACCTAACTTCCATACCCAATCCTGTTTTTTTTTTCGTTCCAACTCTCCATAAATAGAAAATCGCAAAAAGATGTGTGTATACAACGGATTGCAAATTCAGCAATCAACTGGGGGAGGAGGGCAAGCAACATAAAGAATAATCACTTGTCCTGAGAGGTCCGCGCAAATAAACGTTGATATAGGCAGTTGGAGACGTCATGGAGTGTGATATCTCCTTGGCTGCCCTTCTAACGCTCTTTTTCAAACAGCGACCTTTTTAATATTCTTAAAGATAGGGAGACGATGTCCGGCATCCGAATAAGATTGAGCTTCATCCTCGTTCAAGGTATCCTCCTCTATGATCGTCTCACGCACAGGCGAAGGATGTCCAGACGGAGGGGGTGACAGGAGCTGAGCATGCTGCTGATATGTCATGCCTTTCGAGGTGGCATACGCCGTAGACGGGCTCGAAGGCGACAAATAGTGCTGTTCGGTAATCATGCCTGTCGAAGGGTCAATATGGAGCGGGCTCCCGGGTAAAAATCCGCTAAAGCTCTCGGAACGTCCTTTTACCCATGAGCGCTGGTTGGGAGTAATGAGCGTACTAGGCTGCGTCACTGAGCGAGCGCGACGGGTTCTTTCACGAGGTGGCGTCGCCATCGCATTGGAAGAGGTCGAATGAACACTGGGTATATGGTTTCCGCTCGCCATGGCATCGTACATGACCGAATTGGGGACTGGAGGAGCAAGCAGATGCGGTTGGACATGATGAGGGTATAAGTCAGAGTAGTTGGCTGCCTCCTCGGCAAAAGTGACTTCATGACGCATTTCGGCATAGCTCAGTCGACGTTGTTCCGTATAGCCAGCTAACGGAAGTGAGACCATGCCCACCTCCGTAGGGGAGCCGAGGCGTGTATCACGGAGCATCTTGTTGAGATGCTCAACATCTTGATCTTGTTGAGCGCTATAACCGTCCGCCATCGGGGCAATGTCTACCGACGGTCGACGGCCAGAAAAGTAGGCATCGGCAATGGCGCGGTGGTCATAGAGATGCGTCGGAGCTGCCGTAACAGACTTTGGCGGAGCTGAATTGACAAACGTTGCATGCGTGGGCGACTGCACATTGTCGTCAGGCTCATCACCCACCCCCATGGTGCTCTCATGGCTGCTAGACAGCGTACGAGCGCGATCCCTTGTTTGCACAGATAGGCCAGCTGCCTTTTCATCACCCGGCTTGCGAATAACGATAAGCTTCTTATCAATGTCTTGAAGTTTCTTCTCTACATCTTTCTCAGTATGGATGAAACAACACCGCTTGCCATACGGACAGGTGCCTTTCTCCCAGAAAGTCTTGCACATTTCGGTCTTGTATTTGGGATGACGATCCACAGGCCGGAGCTCTGTTTCAGAGTGCGCAAACTGACACTTGTTTCCATAGCGGCAAGTACCAGTTTCCTCCCAGGAGCGACAGAGCTCAGTCTTGTATAAACTCATCTTCTTCAGCTCTCGGTCAATCTTTGTAGGGCTACCAGAAGCTGTCGTTTCGCCAGAGCCTCGACGTTCGGTCGTAGCTGAGCCACTTGAGGTAGAGCCGTCAGAGGTCACTGAGCGCTTCCGCGTGTAAGGAGGGCGAGTCGCCGGAGGAGAAGGGAGTGGAGCGGAATTATAGGGGCGTGCACCTGCCATATAACGGGCTGGCACATTACCCAAATGGCTGTTAACACTGGCAGTTGTAAGCTGGTGCTGATGCATCAACAAGGCATGTGCGGTAGGAGTGAAAGCTCCTAGAGCCATTTGTGGAGTTTGCGGGGTGGCCAATCCTCCTAGTGCGTAAGAGGGGCGGACAGCGGCGTAAGGAGTACCGGGTAAGGAGGCAGAGTTCATGACCAGAGCGTCTTGATAGGCAGCCGCTGCTGCAGCGTATGCGGCAACATCTGGATGAAGGGCAGCGGAAGTATCTTCGGTATCGATGGGTAAGCCATTCTTCATAGCAAAGTCGTGGTTAGCGGAAGGACGTCGAACGCGACTAGCACCCGTTGAAGAGGCAGGATCGAACATCCTTGCCTCTCGACTATAATTGTCTTGCTGCATTTCCCTGACGCTCGGGCGGCGATGGGTCAATGGTCCCCCTTCAGAAGGCGCCATCTCATACGACGGAACATCATACAGCTTTCCCTCACCCATGGTCGGATGGCGCGGTCGTTGCTGAAGCAAGATGCTCATAAAGTTGGCTTAAAAGGTGAAAGGCAGGCGACGTCTAGCTGCAGTTGCTAGGTGTTGTCTGGGACGGGGTGAGCAAGGGACAAGCGTTTGAAAGGAGAAAGATTGCTACAGAACGTGACAACAAGAAGAGATCAATAAACAGCGTGACAAGTCTGATAAACAACCAACAACGTACCAGAGAGGCTTTACAAAGCCAGTAGAATATTTGTCAATACAATCTGACAAGCGACAAGGGATACAAGGCAACCAAGAGCCGTTTTAGGTAAACACTTTTATCCAGGACGTGCCGAAACCACAGGAATAGAAAGGAAATACAAGGGAGAGCCTAGTTAGCGGTGGAGAGGAGACAAGGAGAAAAGGTGGACCATGGGCATGACAAGACAGACAAGGGAGGTCACAAAAGGTCTCTCTCTCTCCTCCCAAAGACCGTGAGAAGCCAAAGCTGTCACCACCAAAAGGTCCTTTGCAAAGATGTCGGTGAAGCCAATGAGGAAATCCTCCAAGAAAGCGAAAGCGAAAAGAGCGATACGAGAGAAGGGCTTTGTTGGTCCCCTTTTGGCGCACACTCCCAACAATTGTATGACTGTGCACAACCGTGCCACATGCGCTACTTAACTCCTTCCGTCCGCTTGGGCGCTTTCTTCTCATGAACCACCCAGCCACCTGACAATAACACTCACCTCTTTTTGTTAAAACGACGACGAACGACGACGATGCAACTATCGCTGAATTTGTAAGAGCAAGATGTGCAAGCAAGGGTATTCTGGGTGAGGTGAAAAAAAATAGGAAATGCTCCACGCTCAAAGGACTTTTGAACGAGAAAGCTGGGAGAGAAACGTGCAGTCGTGCCTCGTCCTTTTATATAGAGTCCCACTCCGCACACAACAAAAAGGAACTGTCAGTCGTTTGCAAGTGGGAACTTGTGAAAAGCGTGGGTTACGTGGCTTGAAGAAGGTGTGTTGCGTGGTGGTGGTGGAGGGGAGGTGGGAGCACACTACTATTAACGGCAGCCTTTGTCTCTCGTGTAGAGGGCGCGACCGGCAAGTTAGCTGGTTGAAGGGACGGAAAGACAAACTGCGCAAGGGGTAAATGACATATTCACAGTGTTTGATTTGCTGACATTATGATAGATATAGTTGTTGTTGAACACTCTCTCAACTTGCAAGCAAAAGCATTAGAAAAGTAGGATTGGAAAATAAACCAGAAAAGGGTTACGCGTTCAGCCCTCCCGTTACTATAAGGCTTTCCAACAACAACACACACAAAACAACATCTCCATAACCAAAAGACAATGTTTGATTGGTAAAGTTGTCAGTCCGTCCCGTCAATCCCTGATGGGTTTTACAAGTTGTGTGTTTTTTTGGTTTGCTGAGGACTTTAAATGTCATATTACAATAGGTGGTAATCTGATCATTTTTTGCTGATGAAATGCTTGTGTGCTTGTAGTGTTTTTGATTTCCAAAAGGCTTCAAGGCGGAACCAGTTTTTTTTTTCTTCTTTTCCAACTTGCAAGCGTGGCTTTAGGCGAGAGTCACTTGCAAACGCCTCTCCTCTCCAATTAAAAAGGGTACAAGTTGCAACAGTGAAGTTTGGACACCTCAACCATCCCTTTTGGGCCGAGCTCAGGAATGGTGTCGCAAAGCAAAGAGGAAGGGGTATCCGTTCTCAGCTAGTTATAATGGGTTCAGATTGATTTCTGTGTGTGTGTGTGTGGTAAAGAGTCCAAATGAATACTACTGATATAGCAAATCAATTAGTGTGCACACCTATCTCTTTCCATGCATAGCCATCCTTTACGAGTCAAGACAACTACATCCCGCCCTTTGTATTAACCTCCTTGACAGTCTTGCAAGTTGCGTCAGTTTGCGCATCAAGACAGGTCACTAATCTCTCCTTTCTGGAGCTGTGCATGTGTGCACCCCAAATCCACAGTCCCCCCCAAAATAGTTTCCATGCATTATCTAGTGTGTGTGTGCATGTCATGATAGAATCCATCATCAACAAAAGACGATTTAACATTCATCCCTAAAATAGCATCTACAAATATCGAATTATTCCATCTTTCGAACGTTTCATCTTTTTTGAGTCTCGAACGTTTTTGTCTCGCATGAGTGGCGCAGTCTATCTGGGACGCTGTGCTGATAATTTTGGGCACACTTCCCCCCAACCTGCCATCTCCAACCACGACATTTCGTGACCAAATGGCCATTACAATAGATGCCATTTACATTTATCCCATCAAAAGCTGTAGAGGAATAGCTGTCCAGTCAGCTGCTATCAGTCAATGTAAGTAAATCTGATATAGTTTATATGATTGATTCATTTCTAATTGGATCTTGTTTCCATCAGATGGTAGGTTTTTCTGACGGATCGATGATGGGTTTAGGGCTTGCAAAGGAACCAATCGTTGTTTTATTTTTCCTTAGGCTTGGAACTTGATCGCTTTTGGGTTCTATCAGACTTGGAGGGTAATCAAGTAACTCAAAGAAAACATCCCCGCCTGGCTCTCGTATCCCCTCGCATCAAGTTAAACACTTTATCAGAACAACATGATATCCCCGTCAACGCTTACCATCTTGGTGGTCAGTTGATTGTATCAGCACCAGGCATGGAAAAGGACCTTGTTATCGAGTTCAAGAATCAAAGTTGTGCATCAATGCGGCGACAGGTTCAAGTGTGGGCAAGTTTGGTGGACGGGTTGGATGAAGGGGACGAAGCCGCCGAGTGGTTTTCCAAGTATTTGGAAATGGATGTTAGGTTGTTGGTCAAGGACGTCTCATGCATCCGATCATTGGACAAACGACATGTCCCTGCACGCAAACTCTTTAGCCACGAACCACAAACAGCCTTTTCAGACGGATTCCCCTTCCTCATCACGAATACCGCTTCGTTAGCCGATCTTAACACACGCCTCGCTACCAAAGACATTTCCCCAGTCTCCATGGAGAACTTTCGTCCCAACATTGTCATCACATCACCTTCCCTCGCCCCGTACACTGAAGAAACCTTTGTCAAACTTTCCGTTAATGGAGCAAACATGCTTTATATTGCGTCCCGGTGTACCCGGTGCACTCTCCCAAACAACAATCCCGTAACCGGTATCCCCCACGTTCGTGAACCACTAGCGACACTCATGCAGTACAGAAGGAGTGATCCTGGAGCACAATTCAAAGCATGTTTTGGTATGAATGCCATTCAAGCGACAACAGGGTGGACTCTACGGACGGGTGATGTTGTGACGGTGGTTGAACAGGGTGTACATGACCAACGAGGTGTATGGTTAGGAAACGAGACCATCTCCCTTGTTGGCAAAGAAGAGTGCAAGCAATTGGTGCGAGCTGATGATCGGTGGTGGAGATTTTATAATGCATTGATGTCGTGGTGGACCTTGTCGATTGCCCCTGTAATTTGGAGCTGGTGGCCCTTGTGATGCAGCATGTAAGAGGCAATATAGATGTAGATGTTGTGATGGTAGAAATATATCACATTGACAGAAACGCTGTGAACGTAAATAAATGAGTTCTGAGAAGGTGATGTACAAGTGTACTAGACAGCTTATTTCTTGGAAGTCTAGTACAGACCAATATACACAATGATAACATTATACTTTCGAACAAAACGCTTTTACAGGAAGAACCCCACACCACAAATGCTAATGCACACAAGTGGTCAAACTACTGTCGCAGAGCTGTCACTCTTCAATCCTTGTTCCTCATACTTGTCCCCCTTCTCAACGTGATGCCTTTGCCCCACGCGGAACTGCAGGTACGCAAACACACCCACCCAGAGCGCACACAGAATTCCAAACACTACATACGGCCAGGTCTTTTTGGTCCCTTCATGGTCGTTGTATAAGGCGATTCCAAGGGGTATGTTGACCAAGGCAAGGAGGAACACAATACGTCCCAACCACCAGTGGACTTTATCCCACCATGGGATATATTTTCGGGTAGGATTGAACAACCTGTCGATGATCCAGCCAAGAGCCAGCTGCGGTGCAGATAGTATGATAATCAAAAGACCAATCACCTAAAAAAAATGCGATTCCATATCAGTGACAGAACTCGATAAAAAGTCTAGAGCCATCAGCTACGAAAACTCACCACATGCGCACCGTTCGCTTTCACATTGAAATGACTTGCACCCTTGACACCCACCACATGATACACCAATCCAAATCCAACATATGTAAATACCCCTGCTGCCAACAACATGAGTGCCCAGTGGAGCCTAAACCACCATACACCCAAAGCAGGCTTAAAGAAGCGTGCAATGACAATCGCCAATGGCGCGAGGACAACCCATCCGAGAAACATGAGGATCCCATGAGCTTGAATGAGATTGCCGGTGTTGGCCGCAGCGTCGTGGACCACGTTTGAGGTTGTTCCATCTGGTTGTGTTTCAGAGAAAGCCATCGAGCCGTCCATCAGGTTCCCGGTTGTGGTGCCTCGAGCAGTGTGCCGAGGAACATTTGTGGCACTGGCGGGTGGAGCACCCGCATATCCTGCCCAAATGAAGCTTTGACTAGACGACTGTATGGCAGGAAGGTTGTTCCCCGGTGAAGCGATGGATCGGTCAAATGTGACAACATATTTTTGGACATTGTTGATGGTGAAGATTCCAGTACTGTTTGCGATGATCTGGAGGTCTTGGGTTGGATTTAGAGTGGGGAGGCGGTGTCCATTGGCTGTTCGGCGGGTTATTGCGACATTTTGGCCGTTTGAAACGGGGTAGGCCATCTATGCAGATGTCAAAGTGAATACACTCGCAACCAAAGACACAAAGCAAGCACACGAACCATGACATCCGCCGCATCCATACTCGCCCCAATCCCAAACCCAACCCACCCAAGCTCTTTTGGAAATTCCATACGAATCCTCACTTCATTGTTTCCAATGTTATTGGAGTACACGCAAAAGACGGGTTGTCCAACCTGGAAACATTGTGGGCTGGCAAGGACGGCTGGTTAAAGACAAAACAATCCAAAAAAGATGAGATGTTCTGCCCCCTTCCTCAGTAGGACGAAAAACAAAAAAATGGTAAAACCTACTCTGTATGAAGAGAACAAAAAGTCCAAGAGTAAAAGATAAACGTCGTCGGTCGAGCATGACGGACAATGATGGAGAATGTCACAAGCGACAACAGTCAATAGCGTTAAAATATTGTTTTTGACGACAAATCCAGTCGTAATCAAGCCCTTTAAAACCGACTGACAATTTAACAAAAAGAAAAAAAAGAGACCTTGCCTCCTCCCTCAGCCAAACTTTAACAAAAAAACCAACCCTTTCCATCGTAGAGTTCAAGTGTGCAAAAAACCCAACCCACACACGCCGATGCTCCGCCCCCTCCTTCGTCCCCCAAGGGGAGGGCTTGGAATGATCGCGGTCATTGTTTTTTCTTGGAACACTTTCTGAGTCACACTGCCACGACGCGGACTTGAACGGCTGGTGAGTTGAAGAGAAATAACAATGGGTTGAAAAGGTTTTTGTGTGTGATAACGAATCAACAAGGAAGAAGCAACATGTGTGCTCTTGGGTTTCGCTCTTGGGTTCTAATTACAAGTGCTCAGTAACTTGCAAAAAAACCAGCGTGCATCACCAGCCCCAATCACGCTTTGCGGATAAGGTTTTTGATGTGGGCAAAGTCAAAATGGATTGCGCCAAGTGAAAACCCCTTCAAGCCATGCTCTCCATACCCAAAAGTGCTGAACTGCCACCATGGGTCTCATTTCACCTCCACTCTTTATCGTTTATTTCACTCAAAGTGGGGAAACCGCTTGTTCAAGGGCTTCATTTTGGACTCTGAACCAGGGTTCCCCATCTTCGGAAGATACAGTTGATTTATACTAGTAGCCGGCAGCATCGGATTGGTTTGAATGAAACAAGAGCAGAACATTCCATGATGGGCCATGATGGGCGATGCTAATCATCCAAAAGGTAGATACTCGCTTAATAGCGATAGATACAATCGCCATGTTTTTGAATGACCACAAAAAAGAAAACAGTCCGGGCTGATGGAAACCAGACTTGGAATCATGCTATGATTCTGCTAAAAGGCGGACCCACTCGAAAACGTGTTCTTAACGCTTACGTAAAATAGTCATCCCAAGCTGAGATATTTCATTGCTTGTGATAGCTTCCGAGAAAGCCCCAATCATCGCTCTAATAATAACTTTTGGATCTTTTTCTAGTCCATATGGCGGGTCTAAAAAGTGGTGTTGGTGCTTCTAGCATATTCATCGCCTTCTGTATTGTTGTTCGACTGCCACTGGTGATGACGATGATTTACTATTTCTGGCCATGTCAGATACTCGTCGTTCATTGTTCCGATCTCCTCTTGACCCTCAATTCTGTGATGTATCCTCATCTTACAAGGCCAAAAAAAAGGCGAATCATAACCTCTTGACTATAATTGACCACATTTTTTAGGGAGAGTGGCCCATCGAGTGGAGTGGAAGAAAAAGTAATTGCGTTTGATGTGTTTTAACCTCGGCGTAAAAAAAAGGAAATAGGGATCACTCTGCATTCAAATATCGAAATCACAGGAAAACTCATTGAATCCGTCTTACGGAAAAGAAACGAGGGACTTCTCTTTTTTTTGCAACACGGGTTTCCGGGCCTTTTTTCTCTCTCCTTTGAAACCCAAAGTGAAGGGTCCTTGTGTGTGATTTCAAGTACAAGACTCGCTTTCGATTCCATCTCCTGGGGCACCGCTTTCGTCGTTTTCCTCTCGAGCTGTTTTGACCTGTCCAACCGAATTCCACCATGTCAGAAGGAGAATCGTTGTATGCTCGGACAACGGCGGAGCGGATTACAAAACCCAAGGCTGCGACCATCGGATACTATGATTTGGAGAAAGCCGTAGGGGAGGGCAACTTTGCCAAGGTTCGATTGGCAACACATACATTGACCGGAGAAAAAGTGAGTGATACCTGCGTTTTGGACTCTAAAGCAGATTTCGTCCGTTGAACAAAAATGTTACATATCTCCTTAGGTCGCTGTCAAAATCATCGACAAGTCAAAGCTCGACAAAACAACGTCAAAAAAGCTGTTCAGAGAGGTCCGAATCATGAAGCTTTTGAATCACCCTCACATTGTCCGGCTGTACGAAGTCATAGACACACCAAAAGAACTGTATCTCATCATGGAATACGCCAGTGGCGGAGAAATCTTTGACTACCTAGTGGCCCATGGACGAATGAAAGAAAAGGAAGCACGCAGACATTTTCGTCAAATCGTTTCTGCTATCGACTATTGTCACTCTCTCCACGTTATTCATCGAGATTTGAAGGCAGAGAACTTGTTATTGGACGGAAATATGAATGTCAAGATTGCAGACTTTGGGTTCTCAAATCAATTTTCCCCGGGACAGAGGTTGAATACTTGGTGTGGATCACCTCCTTATGCGGCTCCCGAGCTCTTTCAAGGAAAAGAGTACTCTGGTCCTGAAGTAGATATCTGGTCACTCGGTGTAGTCTTGTATGTTTTGGTATGCGGAGCGTTACCCTTTGATGGCTCTACCCTAGCCAAACTGCGAGCCAGAGTATTGGCTGGCAAATTCAAAGTTCCGTTTTACATGTCCACCGGTAAGGACGCTATTCTCGACATCGATCTCTGTATTATAGGGTACTTCAGTTTCTAATAAATCCGACAGATTGCGAACGGCTCATCAAACGCATGCTGCAACTGGATCCCTCCAAACGAATAACATTGGATCAAGTCAAGCAAGACAAGTGGTTCAACGAGGGTTATGAGCATGAGCCTCTTCCTGTCCCACAGGTGCTGAGTCTCACTCCGGAGCAGATAAACCATGTTTTAGATGAGCTTGAAGAAATTGGCCTGGACAGGGTAGCAGTCAAAAAATCTCTGGACGAAGGTGTTTATGATCATCTGTCTGCAACATACTATTTGATTGCGGACAAAAACTTTAAACGCAAAACTGGAGAAGCTGGGCGTGATAGCGAGCGTCCCGGGACTGGTGCCGCTGAATCAGAGGCGAACAAGCCGCCTGGACCGGCACCTAATGGACGCAGGGAAAGCAACGTGCCAGTTCTTCCCAACATTACGCCCACGGCGTCTCGTAAACTGGCTGAAGCACCCAATATGAACGCAATAGTTGAGGAAGGTGCAGCTGGTGGATTGCCCAACGGCGTCGAAGCTCCAGCAAGGAGGGCCTTGAATCCTATCGAAAGGCCCGGGTCTGGCACACCTGAACGACAAAGGGCGAGAACAACAGAGCCACAGGAAAGTACTGAAGATGCTGGACATGCGGCACGACCTCCATCTAGTAGTGGTGTTCGTGCGGCTGTGAATGCCACCTCAACAGCTGCCCGCCGACGTGCAACGGTTTCCACTCCCGTTGCAGTAGCAGATTTGAAAAAGGAGCTTTTACAAAACAATATGGCTGCGGCGGTAGCTGCCGCTCAAGGATCTCCTACATCATCGACCGGAGTCGTTGCCGAAGAGAATGTTCCAGAGGTGGTTGTCCGTCCACGACCCCGGCCAGCCCTTCCTTCAGCTGGCCGAGAACGTCCGGCCTCATTTGCGGGAGTACCATCCAACCCAGTCCCAGTCGCACAAGTTGCCAGTGAAATGCACACCACAACGACCCAAGTGGTGCCACCCGCTGCAGCATCTGTGGCCATTGCTACTGTTTTGCAACCTTCTACGGTTCGCACCGCCACACGCAGAAACCGTGCTCAAACTATCGATTCGGCGGCTGCCCCCTATGCCCTACAAGCCGCCGCGGGAGCTTCCGCTTCTAACGACTCTACCAACGCTACATCACCGAGCCGTCCTACATCTGCCCATCCCTCCACGCTCTCTTCCTCGCAATCCCAATCCGGTTCTCAGCTATCTCTGGCTGAGCGCCTTAAAATCAAGTTCCGTAAAGAGGGTCAACGTGCCGAACCCCGCGTCCTCCGCTTCACATTCTCTGTCTCGACCACGTCGACCAAAGAACCCGAAGCGATTCTGACTGAAGTCCTCCGCGTTCTCACTGAGGCAGGCGTCAAATTTGACGTTAACGGCTTTATTGCGAGCTGTAGTTTCCAAGGCATAGATTTCGAGATGGAAGTGTGCAAACTCCCGAGACTGGCTGTGAATGGTCTTCGATTTAAGCGAATGAGTGGTGACTCGTGGGTGTACAAGAATTTGTTGACAGATCTGATCTCAAAAATGAATTTGTGATAACTTTTAAATTCATTCACAACGTTGGGAATAGATCTAAGGCAAAAAGTTCTTCGATGGGTCCGTTATTAAATAGGTTGGAAAGAGGGGGAAAGCGGAGGTTGGGCACTCCTCTCTCATTTTTCGTGTTTTGTTTACCCTTGCAGTCTTGTATACCACTCCTTCTTTAATAGAACATCATGTGTTCAAACTTAGGCTGTGGTTTCTATTTTTTGCTTTGCATCGTACGGGATATGCATAGCATTCATATGCAGCTTGTAAAAGTACTGTACATTGCAGTTTGTGATGCTAATGACGTTTTGTCCGCATTTCGCGTTGTAACAGATCTAATATGGGAGCAAATATGAAGAAGCAAAACCTGCCCGTTGCCTATCGAATGTCAGATAGGAAGTTATAGCAGCCGGTCCAAGCGATGTTTGCAACCCGAATACTCCACAGCGATCCGGTTTTGGAAAAGCTTATCGTGCCTCAGTCCCACTGGGTATGATTTTTTAAAAAAAAAGTTCAAATGATATCACGACTCAAATGACTCTCTTCATGTCTGCCTTCACCTGTCTTTTCAACCCAACCGGTTCCCCATCCTCCAGCTCTACTCCACTAATCCCCCCTTCTCGTTCCAACAATTTTTCCAAATATTCCCTATCCTTTTCTAAAAACGGAGACATATTTTTGTCTCGCGCTGACATGCAAGGAGAAACGTCCCCATTTTCTGTCGAATCGGAAGCCAAAGGTGTATGTGCCGTTGAAGAAGGGTAAGACGACGAGTCCGCCATCTCTATCGATGTCGATTCAGATGGGTGTGACGGTTTGGGGCGGGAGAAAAAAGATGATAGGAACGGAGATCGAACGGTAGTTGAAAATAAAGACTAGGTAGCGAAAATAATTAATGGTTACATCCTGGGTTTGCCTGTTGGCTACATGCGTACCTGTGGATGACGGCGCAGCGATGGCAACCGACATCGCACCATTGGCCTGTTCACCCGTAGACACTTGATCATGATATGCGCTGTTCTGCCAATAAAACCCCTTTAACGGAAATGGAGTCAATGATGAATCCTTTTGGAATAAAAGGCTGCAATGTTGCAATGACCAACCTTCCAGACGATGAGGCTTGCGTTGAGCACGTTCGCATCGAATATTTGATCGGACAAGAACACAGCCGGTTAACACAGCGGTTTGAATTTGTATTTAAATGATGCGACTGTTGGATGGGGAGATTCGTAATTTATTCCGCTATGAGTTGTTGTGGTTGCATTCATTCAAACTCGCTATCTTATAGCAATTGCTATGGCGGTACAGCTATGCCATGAAACCTGGTTTAAACGCAATGCAGCTACTCTGTTTCTGCTCTGTTCTGTCCGATCAAATATTCGATAATAGTTTAGTCATCAAGCATGCGCCACACGATGAGGTCATGGTGGAAATGACGCCTGTTGAGCTTTGCATCTTTTGGTAAAAACAAACAAAATCAGGTTCTGCCAAGTGGGGACTTGGTTTCTGGCATCAGGGTTTCGTTGAGCATCTGTTCCATTAGTTTGTTCCATAGGTTAGATCTGGTCCTACTCTGGAAAAACAGCCATTACCTTGTTTTGTTTTCCTGTCATCTCGAGCAGCTGTCTGGGTGTGTGAAGGGCTGATAAGAGGGTGGAGGGGGCTTTTACATTGTGGGACTGTCAGCAAGACAAAAACAAAACACTGGTTTTTGGAGGACGACAAGTTCATTTTATTTAGCTTGCAACTGTTCTGCTTTTTTTTTGGCGCCTTCGGACAGGAGAAGGATTTTTTGGAGGAGATAAACTTTTTCGATATGCGAGTTTTTCAGTTGATTTACAGCATAGAGGCGAATCCGCCTGTAGCTCCACATCCGCAACCACCCATTGAGGCTCCTCCTCCCTGCGCCCAAAGCCTACCATCTCGCAGCGATTCATCCGACACGATCGTTGTTATTCCCGCCCAGCTACCAGTTACCCCTCTGCGCGCCAACTCATACTTTGGCGAAATAGCCTCCGACAATATCTCGCCAAATCCAACATCCCCTGGCGGAATATACGAGAACCTTGTTTGTCCATTATGCTTTACCTTACCGCAACGACTAAAACGATTGCCATGTTGCGGGAATCGCATGTGTGCTCATTGTGGGAAGGAGTGGGTATCGGGGCACGGGACATGCCCCTTTTGCAGAGCAGATCTGGAAAAAATTATAGCTGATGCGGACGTCAAAACAAGCGACTGTCAAAATGTTCAGACTGAGCATGTGGAGCAAGAGCATCATCAGCACACTCGTTCATACATTCGCAGTCGACGAAAACTGCATCTCCCGGACGACCTGGAAGCACAGGAACAACTGGATGAAATAGATGTGCTATGTCCTCTTTGTTTGCCTAATGCAGGACACTGGATCGGAGAATGTACGTGGGTTGGTCCGAGAAAGGACGTTCGCAGACATATGGAGGAGGATTGTCCAGGGCGAATCGGTATGTACCTTGACTTGTGGGAGCGGTGTTTGGTTGTTTTTTTTCTTGGTCTGATTTTTCCGCATCATTCAGATCCAAACACAGGGCATGTTTCCTCAGAATTCAAGTCCTTTGCATTCCTCGGGCTGGACGATATAGATTCGGACGATGATCGCGATAGCATTATCGCCGAACACACCGCAGTGTCAGTGGACGAGGAAGGAACACCTCTGGCTCTGCTCGCCAGGGGCCGTTTGCAGTCCATGTCAAACGGTGATTACCAGGTGGAATTGCACGACCAGGAGCCATCGTCTTACTGGAGGAGTGTCCTTTGCTCAAAAGTGACGTGGACGCTGTTTACGTTGGGCATCCTGGCAGGATTCATTTTGTACATGGTTTTTGGCACGGCCAATTCGGGATCCAATACGCCTGCCACCTCGAAAATTTCTTAAAACACGAGCTTGGGGGTCTCTATTTCCTGTAAAATGCTTTTGGTTAATTTTCAGTATGTATCAATAATAGCAATTTTTTTTAAGTACAAGTAATAAATTTATAAAAGTTGTCAGTCACTGCAAGTGCACTGCAGTTGTTGTCTGTTGTCGTTGGCCATCTGGCCATCTACAATGTAAAACGCAAGAGATAATAAGGTCCATCAAAAGGGCCATGCATGCTTAATCAACCTTACAAGTAATCAGCTCAGCCTAAACAAATGATTGGGCAGATGACACCCGAAAGCCCGAGCAGCGCAGGGGAGCAAAAGGCAATCCGATAAGCAAATCTATCCAACTTGCCCTTTGACGTCATGTGCACACGGCAGTCCTTTTTGCTTGCTACCCCCTCCAAGCGTGCTTTTTTCAAACGCTTTGGTTGCTCTGGTCTTTTCACACTCGTGGATAGAATGCCCTCAAATTTAGTACTAACCATGACTGTGCCATTGTAATCGATTGCAACCAATTCCATTATCGGCAGCGTGTTCTTCTTTGGTTGCTGTGGTGAAAAAGCCGCGCAAAGGGCCAGATGAATTGATTATTAGAGGTATCGTCGTCGTCTCCACCCTCGACAAAACATTTGGGGTCATTAGTCGTCTTTTGAACCATTCAAGGGCTTGTTGGGGATATTCTTTAGCGATTGACCTGCTGCTGCACAAGACGACGACAACGATTTACAAGTTTTGTTGAACAAAACTCCCAAAACCCTAACGCGTCTCGACCCCAACGGTTTATTTCCCATTGCTTTGCGGAACCCCAACCATGCGTGTCCTTCCGAGTCTTTTGATATGTCTCACCGTTTTCTTGGTGCAGGCGCTTTGTCAAAGTCCTGCGGCGCCGATTGGTGCTGTTACGTCCCAAGTGGGTCAAGATGGTGCTTGGACGGGGTCGGTAGAGGTATGCAGTAACAAGGTCTCCTGTTTGAGATCCGCGATCACAGACCTGACATGTCTATTTTCCCCAGACGGATCCGAGTGTTACGTCCATGACAATCGTACCCATTGTCAATGGCAACACAGCCCCTGCAAAGAGTTTCCAAGCTGCTATCGGCGCCCCACCAGGGGACCTTACTCCGGGACATATCTACTGGACCTTTGAAGGAAAAGCCGACCCAAATTATAATGGTTTTATCCTGCAATACGAACAGACAGGCGCTCAAGGCATACTCGAATATCCAGCAGCAAGTTTCCTTCCAATGGGTCCAGGACTCAACCCTTTTCCTTCAGCGTCGTCAAAACCCTGGATAGCATCAGGCAAACCCGTCACATATGCCATCATCGCCGTCGCCGGCGCCACGGTCCTCTTTGTGGGCATGTTACTCTGGATTGCGAGCAAAAATCGGGCGACGCCGACGGGTTATGGTACGGGCACACTTGGCAAAGGCGGCAGTCTTCGTTCCAGACCAAGCATCACAAACAAGCCAGATGTTGAGGAAATTATTGTGGAGGCCCCTCCTCTTCCGATCAAGCAACATGAGCCTGGACCATCCGGCAGTGGCAGGGCGAGAGTTATGGACCTTGAAGCGTAATACTGGACAGTAATGCATATATTGGTGTAATCATATATAGCTGGATTTTGAACGTTGAGGTTTAATAGGCTCTGGCGTGCGACTGGCGTGGGCGACTCCAGAGAGGGGGTTTGTTGGTGGAACATGTATATATGCATATTATTTCTAGAGTGAAAAATGTATCACTTGTCCTAAAAAAGTATTTCAAGACTGAAAACCAAAGTTACAACTAGGCCGCTGGGACATCCTAAAATTGTTTTGCAAAGATTTGTCTTGATCCAATATACTGACCAATGTCAGAGATGCTTTGGTCTACAGACACAAACTTGACCTGCTTACAACATGACGGTCAAAGCAAAAATATTTCCCCATCCTAGTCCACAATATAAACACCTTCATGAGATGTAACCATCTCCCGACGCTCTGTATCATCAACAAGAATCGGTCCATTCGACGACCCCTGCACCTCGATAATTTCTCCCTTCTGATCCCGCTCGTCCGCTTCCACAACCATGACATCGGAATCCGAATCCACAAACTCCATATCCGTTTCTCTTGTTTCCTTCTCTGACCGGTCAATCTCATCATCGTCGTCGGACGTGACATCGTCCTGGGTATACCTTGCTTCTCGGAGCTGTTTCAACGTCATCGTCATGGGTAGTACCTTGTACTTGACAGAGCGGTTGGACCGTGGTGAGGATCGAAGGGAGCTTTTGGGAGTTCGTGCGGCAGGAGTGCGTGATTTATTATTCTCCACTGCAGGGACGCTGTTCGGTAGGGTTATGATCGGAAGAGGAGTATGAACGGGCCCAGATGGATCAACGATGGCCTCTGCTGATGATGGTGGTTGATGATGGGTTCCCTCCGGTGATTTGGTCGAAAAAGCTTGGTCTCGCGTAGTATGAACAGGCGAAGACGGCTCCTCCACCTTTGGAGTCACTTTGGGTATTATGACATGAGCCATCGCTTTCTTCCCCTTTTTGACAACTTTGGCGGGCGGTACGGAGGCGGCATCCGCTTTCTCCCGGATTTCATCAATAAGTATTCGATATAGATCCTATTCACCAGGCGTCAGAATGAGCACCAAGGGACTACTCTTCCACTACCAAGAAAATCATACCTGATCGATGCGTATTACTTCTTTCCTTTGTCTCGTAGTCTGTGGGGGGGGGGGGGGGGGGGCCGTTTAGATCCTATCCAGTGAACCTTAAACACATAATCTCCGCACCATTAAGCCCATAAAAAATTTGATGTCCACACTTTCGACATTGGATGACAGAACATGCGCTGGAAGGAACTTTCGGTAGATTCGTTCCTCTTCCCACTCATCTAACTGGCTAGGGAGTAGTGCCAGTACTTTGGCATGAGCCTGAGAGGGCCAAGTATGAGTATACAATGGTTTCTTGACACGTAGCAGAGTGTTGAACTATACCGGTAGTAGTTGGGCCGAATCAAGGCCCGGTTCGGGGGAAATGAGAATGCGATCGGCCTTGATTTCCTCTTCAACATCTCCAAAATCCACAATGTACTTGTCCAAAGCCTGTCTTGAAACGATTCTTCCTAAAAATGCAAGTCCGCGGATGGTCAGCGGTTTGCTGGAGGTCAATCACGGAAAAGACTATCGGGCACCTTCGTAAAACACGTTATTCTCGGGCCTAACGAAAGAGACAACTCTTAACTATTTGTCAAGCGAACTGATAAAGGAAACCGTGCGTACCACTGCGCGACAACACGTTGACCTGGCGCGAGCCCGAAAAACTATACACAATCCAATAGTGAGAAAACGATTCCCCGGAATTCTGAGCAGCTGTCATTCTACCTTTTTAATCAATTCCTGCATGGCCATACCCGACGACTGTTGCGATCGCCGAACTTTGGCATGACATTCGGTACATACGCTGTTTTCAACCAGCCCTTCACACTCCCGACAAAAGGAAATCGTCTCCGACAATCGCCGCTGAAACAACTTTTCAAAACTGTCTGCAATTTGTGGGTATCCAGTTTCTGGTGCGTTGAATTTCCGGCAATTGATAAAGACCAATAAAACGTCCTTGACGAAATCTTGTATTTTCGTATAGCAGTTGTCGTCCAGCTTCGCCCCAATGGTCCCAAAGTCCATGGGTTGATCAACAAAATCAAGATACTGAGGAAATCGTTCCAGATCGACTGGTTCTGCAAAAACATCTGATCCGTTGGCTCGCAGTAAGTCTGCTAAAACCGCACCACAGAGCCTTTGTACAACTGTATCCGTTTTATGCCGAAATATCATTTTTGCCCGTTTAACCGGAGTCACAGTACTCGCTACAGAGCTCGCTCGTCCTCGCTTCAAGGATTGATCGCTTCTGGTAGGAGAAACTGTGGCCGGACGCGTTGTGGAACGATAAAGATCCTCCGGACCATCTGTGGCAAAGGTTCCGTTCTCCAACGCGACCGGCAAGGAGTCGTTCAAGCCGTGCAATCGACCTGCCCCAGCATCATGTCGTGAAGAAGACCCTTGAACTAGAGTGTGCACTAGTGATTGATGGTGCTCGTGGTCATGCGACGAGCTTCGTCCTCTAGTATTGGACATTGATTCCTTTATCGAATTCGGGCCATTTGACCGTGTAGAAGATTTTGACACATCGCTAGCAATGTCCATTAGCCCGTCAGCAATGCTTGCACTATTTGTCAATGGTGTGATGACGTCGCGTATTAGCTGAAGACGATTACGGAGATCCCGGATTTTGGGGTTGATTTGCATTGACGTGGGTTCGAATAGAGATCGCACTGCGACGGCAAGATCCTCGAGGGCACTGTCCACATGGGCCGCATCCAGTCGATCTTCCTCAGCCGCATTTTCCATGCGAAAGATTTTGCCCAAGCTTTGAATTGAGTCTTCTAGCTCAGCTTGTTTGGCGGAAACACGTTGAAGAAGGGTATTGATCCTTTGTAGATTTTCGCCAAGTGGTTTGACTATGTCATTCATCATATTTTCGACAACCTTCCAATCCCGATACGCGCTTCGAATCGTCGACCACGTTTCTTGCCCGTAGTCGAGAAGGAGTTCTTCACCCTTTGCTATGTCACTTCTGGCCATGACAAAGATATGCGGCCTACGAGAAATGTTAAGGGGCAACGTTACAGAGCATATTTAGCCCACAGAACGCACCAGTTGAACAGGATAACTTCTACAAGTTTGACATTTGGCTGTCCTTCTCCATCTCCAAGCCCCCGCAGGTTGAATGGATCCAAACGGAAATCGTTCAGCTCTGTCGTCCACTGCTTATCATGTTTAAATTCATCACTAAATCTTTCATGGATGCAGATGGAAGACCGACCTTGTAGTAACCTGTTGTTTCTTCGCCCTTGACAATTAGCGGACACTTGAAGGTCCCTTTCTCCGACGCGTTCATTGGGAATTCTTTGACGTCGTTTGGGTTCAGCTGGTATTCGACATCGGCTACTGATGCGTATTCAACGGTGTTCCTTTCGTTCTGTAACCGATTTAGCACATTGACACTGTATAACTGTCGGTTAATCGTCAGACGTATGGACATGGAATGGTTAACACTCAACACCACTTTTGAATACAGACCTGCTCCGCTTCGAACATGGTTTTCCCTTCAAAGACGCCGATAACTTGATTTCTCTTTATGTCCATATCGGCAATAACCTAGAATGATTGATGTGGGTTGAGGGCATTTGCATTATATATACACTTGCATGCGAATCATGAACGAACCTTCTTATGGCCTCGTAACTCCTGGCGGGGATCATCTTCAGATACTGGAATGATCGAGCAACATGGTTCAATTGGGAAAGGATCTGGTGATTCCTCCATTCCCGGTTTGAATTTTTCATAATCGTCGATCTGATACACATGCGCTACAAAAAGCTATTATTGGTGCAGGCATTTTCAGTCCAGTCCAAAAATTCTGCCTTTTTCGGTATTCCGTATATCATATTCAGTAACTTTGGGCACACCTTAATGATAGTCGACCATGAATGCACCTGTGCAATCTCTGTGAGATGGTGTAAAGCGAAGCATTCGCACAGCTCTTCGGAAAGAACCAACCGCAACGGTCTTCGCGCCAGAGATTACATTGCATGATGCTCGATTGCTGGAGACTCCATGAAGCTGATAGCATTGGATTTCTGGGCCTTTCCACCGTCGCTGGACATGCCGGATGAGCAACTGAATTTCTTCCAGAAAAATGAAATCGTACCATTTGCTCTTGCTTGGCAAGATGCGCCAATGGAGACAAGTTTGGACGGACAAAGCCATCGTGGCCTCTCTTCCCTGTCCGCCCATCCATGGCCGTGCGGTCTGGCGATCACCCATTTACACAAGCGGACGTTCATTAGTCTCGCTGCTCAAGCCGGATGGAACAGGCATCATAGGCTGCATTGCATTCAATCATGGTTTGTCATACTGCTGAAAATGAATCTGCGATTGGTGGACAGAAAGTTAAATAGAGTTGCCCTTGGAAAGGAGGTCAGGGTTAATGTTGTTTTCCACGTTGTCTATTCATCTGCGCTTTGGGTTTGGGGGATTTTTGCTTGGATGGCTTGGAGCAAACTTCCAGCGGTAAACGAGGAGGTGGACGCACTCGTCCGAAAATGACTTTTGGGTCGGACATTACGCGCGAAATGTAATTAACGCGTTCGAGAACTCCGACCCACTCCACATCTTTCTCCTGGGCGGTTACCCCTTTCTGCTCAAAGTAATAATGCATTTCTCCCTGTAACGCATGACCATCGTAAGTCGGAGTTGAGACAATGAAACGACGTCTTGTTTGGAGGTACTTGTAATGGAAGGTTTCCAGACCAATATTTGAAGGGATATATGAAGAAGCTTCGATTGCGGGGGCCTATCTTCCCTGAAGATATTAAAAGGCCCGCATCTCGTCAGCTCCCCTGCTCTCTTCGCACATCCTAGCGCTATATCTATAAAAACGCTCGCATATATTTTAGAAAAGACTTGCACCCCGCGACCCTGACCTCTCGTCTATTTCAAGCCCACAATGGCTACCGCATGGTTACCTACCGCATTTTTATCGGCTGCCGTCCCCGACGGAAAATGGGACCTGCAATCTGATGAAGTCTACTGCGATATTCCATCCAGTGACGTGCTTCGCGTAACTGAGCCCGTAGACCTCCTCTACTATCACGACACAGCTTCAACCTCATGCTCTTCTCCAGCCGGCGATTACGCGGACCTAGCATATCCTCTCACGCCCGCGAACGAGTGCCATTTTGGGTACGCGGATGTACCACTTCACGGCCTCTGCACACATCCCCGACAGCTCGAAGCGGTTCGCTGCCCATGTGCATGCTGCGCGTACACGCCACCTGACTACATGTACTGTGCTTCCGTTTCGTCTGTATCCGATGTATCCGCCAGCTCGCCCGTGGCCCGCGCGCAAATATCAGTGCATCCATTCACTGGCTTTCCTTCCCGATCGCCGTCTATCAATGCAGATGCGTTCAGCTCCTCACCATACAGCAGCCAGGAGTCTGTTTGCCCAAGTCCAATCTCACCGCAAAGTCCTGTAGCCACTGTACCCACCATCGATGAAAAGCCGTTTTGCATAAAGCGATCTTCTTCCGACGAAGGTTCTTTTCCGATAAATCCGGTACTCTCCATAATTGAGGAAAAGTCAGCCGCGACAGTTTCACCATCAAGCATCTTTGGTGCCCCACCCACACCTACTACGGCAGAACCCTCAGAAAACATGAATGTCTTTGACCGCTTCATTGATGAATCAAAATGGACAACGACGGAGACTGGCGGTCTTCTCGGCAAAATTGATCTGTTTGGAGATTTGTTACCCATTCCTGCCAAGGTCTGTGGAATCCTGAATGCTACAGACGCATCCATTGACGACGGCATCAAAAGCAATGTGAGCGACAGCCGACTCGAACACCACCTTGCTGACAACGAAGTAAATGACATGGACGAAAGCGATACATCTGACGCTGAGGAGCTCATCACACAAACGCTGGTATTCGACCATTCACAAACTGTACCTTCTTTAATCGCTGCTTGCAGCAGCGACGACGAAAAGGTTGGCATCTAAGATGGAATACTTCATTACATCACATCTTTCTAACTTGTTCATTCGTTGTAGGAAATGTGCAATGAACAAGTACCAGTTACCTCTCGTCGACCTGGAAGGCCGCATCTGTCAGTCGTGACCAGTGATATGAAGCCGATCAAGAAGCGATCCAGGTCCCCTTCCGCTGATTACTTGGAAGAGATTGAAACGCCAGCTGTGCGACGTAGCCGCATGGCTGTCTTCACTTATGAGGAAATGTCCTCAGAAGAAGGAGAATACTCTAGCCCCGAAGACGCATTTGCAAATTTCAACGATGGTACCGATGCGGTCAAGAATCTGACTAGCACTATTGCCTGGAGAAAGAATTCGGCTGGGAGATACATTTGTCCTCACCGCGGATGCTCCAAAACCTTTGAGCGCAAATTCAACGGAAGCACCCACTATGCAACTCATTTCGACGTGCGAATGCATGCATGTCCAGTTTGCTGCAAAACAGTAAGTATCCTATTTGGAAGATGTTACCTTAACGTATACGGTGCTGACATGATCCCGTATCTCCGCAGTTTACTCGTTCTTATGACCTTAAGAGGCACCAAAAACTTCATAAAAGCAGCAAAAGCAAGAGCCATTCCCCTTCCAAAGCCTCCGAAGCGACCCACTCCTCCACAAAATGCCCAAACAACAAGAAGCGCACATTGCCTGCGAACAGCACCCCCACGCACAAGCGAAAGAGATCGCGGACAGCGAAATAAACATGTTTATGGTTTGAGATTTTGGAGCGTAAATAAAACGGTGTACAAAGCAGAAGGGCGGTTTTTTGTTGAGAATAATTTATCGATACCCGATTAGCGATTAGGCTTGTCTTTCTTAGCACATAGTTTTTTGTTGTCTTTATTCCCGCCTGTAAGAATGCCTTAGATGTAGTTTAGGTGTACTTAAAGTTCTTAATGTATTTATTTATTATCATGTCGTAAAGCGGGCTATACGCAGAGAGTCTTCTGGTGCTTGCCAATGGTTGGCATATCTTTATTCATTATGGCTCCATAATCCTCATAATAAACACCGGATGCACATTGCGATCAAATAGGAGATTAGTGAAAACCAAGTACAAAAAAAAAAAGGCACGGTGCCAAAACGTAGACGGAGTCAGGGGCAATGCTACGTACACATGCCGCCAAGAGTGTAGGCAGCAACAATATCTCAAAAAAAAACTTCGTTTGCAGTATTCCAACGCACCCTGTGAGATTCGAACTCACAACACGGCTTTCGAGACTGAACTTTTGGCCCAACCTCTTAACCGCTTCCGACAAAGGTGCTACACAAAATCCTCCGGTGAGCATATATATAGATTTTTTCCAGTATAAACACTCGGACAAGCAGTACCTATACACAGAAGAAAAATAGCGATATGGGGAATTCATGTTTTAATAGTAACACACATGTATCGCTCATGAGTCTACATACACTCAACAAGAGATTGTATATCATGTTCAAAATACCATGGGGAGAATACCCAGGGTCAACGTTTCGCCAGGGAGTGTAGGCAGGGTGATAGTATGAACACTGCCTACAGTACACAGCTGCATCTCACATCTGGAGATTACGAAACGCGACTCCCTGTTTGGCGGCTGGCGGCGACAACTCCCTTGCCAATTCAACGGGCCCAACACATAAGGCAACTTTTTCATCTCCTCACGGCTCTCAAGTTCTATTGCACTTTACCATCTTTGCATTCCCCATGTTTACTATGAGATTCTAATTCACAAGACTGCGACAGTTGCAATATCAAGTTAAGGAACAAAGTGCTGTCCGATACCAGTTGCAAGTGATCTGGACCCTGCCATTGGCAGTGCTTCTTACCTTGCGTCTGTGGCTTCTTGCTGACACTGCCTTTGCGCTTGCGATGCAAGACCCCTGGGCCAACTTGAACTTCCTATCTGAAAACGAGTCTTCTTCAACAACCATGAGGGGATCCATTGCTCCTGCTGCCGATTACAATGGAGTTTGGGTGGCCAATAGTGACGAAGGGTTAGCGAGAGATGGACGTGGAAAACTGGGTGCTGGTCGAAAACCTGCGGATCGGGTAGAGAGCACAAGCTATGAGAGAGGCTGGAAACGAGGACGGACTCCCAGTTTACTAGATGGACCGTTCCAACATGAGGAACCCATAGAAGGGTGGACAGACTTTGCACAAGCCCTTTCACCCGATCTTTCCTCTGAAGCATCCCGCACGAGTCGTTCTGAGAACGGAATTGAACTTACAAGCGGAGAGAGGGGATCCCTGGAACTACCTAGCTTGAGAACTGGTAGTGCAGCGGACCGAGTGCGGCAGGAAGCCATAGCAGCCATGGGCTCGTCCACTAGACCATTGCTTTCACTGGACGAAATCGACCAACTTGGATCTGTGGCCGATCTCACACGAAACGACCACGTGCCATTACGACGATTGTCTTTGGCCAATGGCGAAGAGATAGATACATCTAGCACCACGATGCACAGAGTTTCTCCTAATGATACCCTTGCTGGCGTAGCGATTCTCTACCGTGTGAAGGTATGTGGATCTCCTTGAACACGAAATTGCCAACTGTCCTAACTTACTACCCCAGCTTTCAGAACTGAAACAAGCTAATCGGCTGTGGAACGATGATGATATAAAGCTACGAGAGTTTCTAATTATTCCAAGAAACAGAAGCCTAGGTAGGAAGATTTTGTAGCTGTATACTATTGGAGATTGCCTGAACGATCGTGGCAGGTTCCGCGACGGACTCCGCAGCGCCTTCCTTTGTTTCAAAGATCCCAATCTCCCCACCGTCCAAGATCCCTTCAGCTGGTGCGTCTACATCAAGTTCCGAAAGGAAACCATTTGGAAAGCGAAGCGTCTCGTCACCAAGTCTAGCCCCTGTAGCTGAAACGACAGAAGACTTACTTCGTCAAATTGACTTGGATCTCGCATCTACATTAACAACCTTGGGCAACCAATCCTGGACAGCTGGCAAGTCGTCACATGCTGGTGTTCCATATGGATTTCCATCTGTATTGGAAGGAAATAACAGCGGGACAGCGTCAAATGGACAGAGTCCGAATAAAGTCAGGCGCGGACAAGTTGGAAGCCTGGAAGACGTTCTTGGTCTTGCGTATGGCCGGAGTAGATCAGACAGTGGTGGATCGATCTCAAACCCATTTCTTGCCATCGAGAATTGGAATGAATGGATCCTCAAGTGAGCTATCATCGTCATTGCGTTATACCTCTAGGCTGTTCTCACAATTTTTCATCGAGCAGCAAGTTAAAATATGTGTCAAATGAAATAGCTAGTCCAAGTAGAGAGGAATATTCTCCGATTTCGACAGACGAGGACGAAGCGGAATCCACTCCTCAATCTTCCTTCTCTTCTCCTCGGTCTTCTGTCTCCTCCTGGACCGCTCGCACATCTTGGGCACTGCCTTCGGGAATACGGCGACGAACAGCATCGGCCACATCCGAGATGCCCGTGGGTCCAAGGCGAGAACTATCCCAAACAAGTTTTGGTAATACACCTGACCTACTTGACTTTGGACAAGAACCTCGATTGGAAGGAGTACGGGCAAGTGGGCACACTTCCACGTAAATATCTAGTTTTAGTATAGGGTTAAGAGACAGATAGTTGAAAACTGTGCCGCAATATCTCTATTAGAGGATTAATGGTGAACACAGCCACCTTGGTGTGGTTGCGCATTTTAGGCATAATTTCCATTAGCAACTTGAGGACTTTGTCTTGTACCGTTGCATATACACTAATCTATAATACGCCATACTGTCAAATATTGGTCAAGTGTACGAGTCGTGGGCTCATTTGTTTCATTGATTTGGTGAGGTTTGTGCGCTTCTTTGCTGCAAAAGTCTCTGGGAATTTATTGAAGCCAGGTCGTCCTCGTCACAGGTCAATATGGGCGGAGCACTCAATGACTTCGTCTCGAGTGAAAGAATCTATAAAGTTGCTGCAGCTGATCAGTTCAGCATCGAAATCTCTCCAGAAATGCCGATAAATACGTTGGGGCCTCCAAGAGTTCAAACTGACCTTTTGCACTTGGGTTTCCGGCCCGATGAGCAAGATACACCCTATACACTATTACTGAATGACTCTCCATCGTTATATTTCGCTGCTATGGCGGAGAAATCTTCCAGCAACAGATATCAAGAACAGCATACTGTAGATAAGAACGATCCATTGGCGGCTAGCGATTCCTTTATAGATTTTGCAAATATGTCGGACGCGGGAGTATCAGCAATATGGGAGCAGTCGTTTGAAGATGGGCAGAGATTGTTTGAAGAGTCATTATTGCCTGATGAGCAAGGTTACGACGAAGGGGTTAGTGTGGATGACAGCCTGCAGCCGTCTCTGTCCGTGGCGGACGTGCCAAATCTAGACGAGAGTCCAAGAGTGCCGAAAATTCGCATGGAAGGTATATACAAGCAGCATTGTTTACTATAATCAGTAAGCTCACGATAAGGTCATAAGAGCGGGTATCAACAGATCGCAGTAACGGGAAGACCCTGCAGTGCACAAAAGCTAGATTACTTTCAAATGAAAACCAAACGTCGAGCTCGTCAACATGTGCTAGTCAATCCACTCCTAAAGACAGTCCGACGGTAACTGCTGAACAAAGAACAGCCCAAATCATCGAATCTCCGTCATCTGAAAACACCAGCAATCCTCCATTGTTGACATTCGCATCTGCTCTGGCATCTGTGCGCTCAACAACTTCCGCAACCTCGGACGCTGCACATCCTGTCACTCCGCAATCAAGAGGAAGTATGCCATCGAACCAGCCTGATGAATCTTCTTCTCCTTCGATAGCTACCAATCATTTCACGGCAATTAAAACCAGGAATGCCATGGATCAAATGGACAAGGCAGCTTTGATCGATAAGCAAGACAGGCCGTTGGATTTTATGGGTGGGCCGTCGTCAAGCACAAATAACATACATGGCGAAGACGCACACGACAATGACGATTGTGTTACTGTTGATACGAGAATCAGAGCACACAGTGCATACTCACTCGCTCGTCGAGCAAAGGAAATTACTTTGAAGCGTGCCCGTGTCAATATTGTGCACCAAGACGTATCGTCTGCAAACGCCGCTATGGAGGAACCAACATTCAAGCGACCCAGAGAGAAAGATGCGCTAGCGTCTATAAAGGCAGAGCACCAGTACGGGACAGGTGAAGTCTCCGAAACTCCATCAAGGATCACTCCCTCGTCACATACGATATTCCGACCTTACAGTGTATCCGAATCATCCTTTGGTGCAGATCGTACTGGAGATGGCCAATTTCCAGCTGGATTGGCCGGCCGCTTTCGAAATATCTCGCCGTCTCCATCTGAACTCACAGATAGCAGCGATATGTCGAGATTTTCGTCGAATTTTCGACCATGGCAAAAGGTCCCATCGTTTTCCCAAGCGAATCCAAAGAGCAGGCCCTTTCTGTCACATGGTGGAGATGACACTGCTTCCGAAATCTCATCTGTGGCCTCCTCGCGGCGTAACCGAAACAATAAAACTCCTCATAATAAATCCTCAGAGAATCTCAAGAACGTGCCGCAAACAGTGAAACTAGAGAGACGAGTGCATTTCGACCATGATTCCGATGAGCACGGTAGTCTGATGTTGGATGACAAGGTAAGAAGTATTGTGGGTAGATGTATCCAATAATTTGATGTAATGTAGTATTTGTTTAGGTTGTAATGGCCGTGACCTACAAGAATGGCAAGATCGGTGCTGCTTATTATAGTGTAATGGATTCCAAACTTTATCTAATGGAGGACATGGAGGAGGATATTTCCTTTGAGATTACGAGGCTATGTAGGTCCCCTCGGGTAAAACTGGTGTGTCATCGAGAGTGTTTGATATTCCTTCTCCACCTCAGTACGATATCAGGTGCAACCATCGGTTATCGTCACTAACGCACGGGCCGATGACGCTTTTCTGGAAGTGCTAACTGCACAAGGTATGAACAACCTTGTTTAGTGACTCTGTTGTGATATTGATCGCAAGAATGTGTTTGCAAAACCAAAAAGATGGCGCTTTGCCACCGTGCGAGCTAGAAATACGGCCGTCTACGGACTTTGTTTATCAAACGGCAAAAAACAAACTTTGTTCCATCCAGATTCCAGCAGCGGGGCAGCATCTCGATGATCGTACGTCGACTCCGCGTAGCGAGGATCACGAGAGTTTCACCAGAAAAAGAGTTGAAATGTTCCTTTTCCTCGAAAGTATTGTCTCGCTGGACAGCGTCGAAATGGTGTGTTGTGGGTCAAAACGATGAATGTGATCTGTTTCCTGATGTAGATGGATGGGTAGGTCGGATGCGCTGGCGCATTGCTCAATTACATCACCAAGGCAAGGTTGACGGGCTCCCTAGAGGCGGATGCGGAAATTGAACTCCTGAGCGTCGAGCAGTTCAGCCTGTAAGACTGTTAGGGTTTCATTTTTGTCGCATATCAAGTTGATATTGGCTCATGACCGACGGTAGCAATCAATATATGCATGTAAATGCGGATACCCTTTGGTAAGACGTCGGCTTTGAGGTTACTTGGAATCCCAAACTGATCCCTTTCAAGCTCGTTGCAAATATTTCAAAACGAAGCACATCCCAGTATGCACTGCAAAAAGGGCAAAGAAGGGTTTTCTTTATTTGGTACGTGGGAAGGCATATCTCGATAAACAGCTCTGTATCTGATTGAATACCCAAACGAACATAGGGATTATGGATACTACAAAGACGCCCATGGGTCGAGCTCTTTTAAGACAGTGGTTCCTCCGTCCGTCTATGAGCCTTGATGTAATCAGAGAACGGCACACAGCAGTAGGATACTTCCTTCGGCCTGATATTCAATTCGCAATGAATCAATTGCGGGGTAGCTTGAAACATGTGAAAAACATACCTGTAAGGAAAGCTTCGTATCGGCTCACTTAGAGGAGCATCAGACTAATTATGAATTGGTCTTTAGAAAATTCTTACGAAAATGCGGACACATGCGTCGATCGTGGAGTGGCAGGCCATCTTGAAGGTACTTTGTCGCTGCTGCTAATAAACATCATCTTTATATCTCATTTGCAGTTCTCTTACTACGCCTTGAAAATCCGATCTGATCTCCGAGAACTGGGTGCGCATGTGAAGATCCCGATTGTTCGCAAGGTGCTGGCTATACCACGCATTGTCCGCTGTTTAGGCCATGCTCATTTTTCTTTCAATAGATTAATGAAGTCTTTGTGGTTCAGGAATTGAAAGAAGTCGGGTCATTTGTAAACAAAGCCGTACGTGGACTCTCCAGCACGCTGTGCGTTATTCTGCATAGTGACATCTAAGATGCTAGGTGGATTTTGATGCATCTGTAAATGAAGGTCGAGTCGTCGTGAAACCCCATGTCGATGATGAACTTGATGAATTGAAACGAACTTATCATGGATTGGATGATCTTTTGGTATGAGAATGTACGCCTCCTATATGAGTAGCAGGTGCGAATTGATACTGCTATGGGGATAGTCTCAAGTGGCCCACGAGATCAGCGATACCATCCCAAAAGAATTTTCCACGTCATTGAATGTGATATACTTCCCTCAGGTATACGAGTTAATATCATCATATTAAGTTGCTACACTGCGTTGACGTTCAACACCAGTTAGGGTACCTCATCACGATTCCACTGAAAGAAGGCATGACGGAGAGGGAGGATTTCGTTATTGAAGGGTTGTCGTTTCAGGTACCTGCTTAAAAGTCAGTTATCATGGGTCCGAAGAACTTAATGGCATTTCCACGTAGTTTTGCACGGCAAACGCAGTGTACTATAAGAGGTAAGGGTGTATGTTTTGCGTACTCAAAGGAGGTGCTCTCATTTCTCGCCGTGTTAGTGATCGGATGTTTGGTGAGCAATGGAGTTTCATAAACGAGTCTTAAACCAAGCCAACAAAGATCGTTTGTAGAACTTGACGAGAGTATCGGTGACATTCATTCCATGATTGTCGGTACGTTGTACTCTAGTCAAGAATGTTTGGGTTACGACTGACGTTATGTAGATCGAGAGATTGAAATCATTCAGAGGCTACAGGAAACGGTGCTTGGGTATCGTGCGACACTCATTCAAGTCGCGAATGTGTGCGCAGAGTTGGACTGGTAGGCGTTCGCGCGTTTCTGGGCGGGGTCGTCAGGTATTGATCTGCACATTTTCCTGTCATTTGCAGTATCTTGTCGTTCGCTGATGCAGCCAAGAGATACAATTGTACACGACCAGAGATGACTGAGGATAATATCTTTCATGTTGTTAAAGGCAGGTAGGTAAGCTTATTGGTTTGCATTTCTCTGGACAATAGTGATTGACTTGCCATACAGGCATCCTCTTCAAGAACTTTGTGTGGATGTGTTTGTCGCCAATGACACATCAATGGGGGAAGCAGACGATCTACCACGAATGATTTTGCTCACCGGTGCGAATTTCTCTGGAAAGTCCGTTTACTTGAAGCAGGTGTGAATGTCATGTCGATATGAACCTCCCCGAGTAGCTGCGGATGGACTAATTGCATAACAAGATTGCCCTCATCACGTACATGGCACACATTGGGAGCTTTGTTCCTGCTGAGCGTGCCGTGATTAGGTTGACAGACAAGATTTTGACGAGGATACAAACTCGGGAATCTGTCTCTAAGATGCAGAGCACGTTTATGATTGATCTCCAGCAAGTGAGTGTTGCGTTGCGGAGTTCGACTAGAAGATCTTTGGTGCTTTTGGATGAGTTTGGAAAGGGGACGGATACTGCTGGTATGTTTTTTGATATTCTTGTCGGGTGCGATATTTTGTGTCTCGCCGACCTTTATTGCGTAGATGGAATCGGCTTGCTCTGCGGCGTTTTAGACAATTTTGCGAAACGGGACGCGGATTGTCCACACGTTGTAGCGGCTACTCACTTTCACGGTACGTTTCCAAACCTCTCGCCGTCCCATCAAGCATTTCGTGATTAAACCTTCATAGCAGAAATCTTTACATACAACCTTCTCACGATCCCGGAACCCTTTTTGTTGGAATGCACCATGGAGATAATGGAGACACGCGGATCAGAGGGGCTCACGTTTTTGTATCAGTACGTTTAAAAGGGTTGTCGTTTTGTGAGAATGCCATTGTGATCCATATGCGTTGTAGCGTCAAGCCAGGGAGATCCCAGTCGTCATGGGGAGTTCACTGTGCGGCTTTGGCTGGCATTCCACCGCACATTTTAGAAAGAGGTACATGTTCGTGCTTGTCGTTTTCTTGGTCTCGTATTTTCATGCATATGGCCGCGATTTTCATTATGATTTTTTAGGCCAAGAAGCTTCTGATGCTCTGGCCAGAGGGGACCCTATTCGACCGATGGAAACCGATGCTGATAAAGCTCAGTATGCGGCGAGTGTAGAGGTTGCGCGTGTGTTCAGCGAATTGGATCCGTTGAAGGGGGATCTGGATGAGCTTTGGAAAGTTGTCGATGAGGCGTTGGCGTATTTTGCGATATAAAGTGCTGACGACCTATTGATTAGACCTTTTATGTATTATCGGTGTAAGAGGACCTAATATTCGTTTGTTTATCGTGTATTGAAGGATGGGAGTTCAATCTGAGATGTATGTATCCTAGTTTCACTGTTCGGTGATGCTTGAGATGTTGGGAGGTTAATTGATCCAGTTAAGCCAAAACGTAAATAAGAATCGATGGATATCCTTGCTGCCTTGTCATGCATGTACATTCCAATACACTGCAGAATTCCTTTCCAGGTTAGGGTTTACCCAAACCTACACATCTTTGTTTCGGTTTAGATGCAGAAAGTTTCCGTAGGAAACTCTTGAACGTGTCGACATACATCTCGGTGTTATCGCTTTAAATAAATAAAGCCATCAACATTGAATATTAAATACTACCCAAGATGCATACCACGTTCAAGAGTACTGCACTCCCTATACGCTTGTCGCTACACGTAAACACAGTATGTCCCAAAGTAGACTATATAAAGTTTCGCTAAAAAACCGATACTGTTGCGGGAACTCCCTCCTCTCCTCTCCCATCCGCATAGATATTCACATTTGTGCATCCAAACTCACTCTTGTAGCGTAATCGAATAATGCAACGTTTTCGCTATATACAGTATACAACCTTACATCGAAACTATACGTCAAAATGATCGGATCATCTTCGAGCTCTCCGCCGAAACACCCACACAACACTCCCGATAACAGCACACCATAACAAGACGCTTCCGACGATGATTCCTGCTACGGCGCCTGTGGTAAGTCGTGATTCTGTGGTAGATTCCATGGTTGCCGTTGGGGTTTGGGTTAGGCTGGATGTACGAGTTCCGGTTGGTGTGGATGAGGTTGTTCTGGTTGAGGTGAATATTGGTATGGATGTACCGCCTGTACATGTTGGTGTGCATGGTGGTTCGGTTGTAAAGTTGCTTAAGGGGATGGTACTTGTCCGATGTCTATGTGTCCACCAATTTTCTTCAATTGGTTGCATGGAGTACCGTTATTTTCTTCATGTGAGAATGATGGTGGAAGGGGGAGAGGCTTGAAGTGTTGCGTCATGTTCTCACCAATGTGGTGTTGGCCACGACAGGTTAAAGTAGTTGTGGGTTGCGCTTGGCTGAAAGACAAAGGGAAAGAAAGGAACATGACACGGTTATTGGGTATTTTCATCGCGTAAAAATGGTTGAATTAGTCTCGTTTGCCAGCCCCCCCGAGGAGTGGAGTAATATGAGTAGGTAGATACAATAAGAGCCATACATCCAGTATAAAAATGCAACATTTTATTTGTTAGATGATAAAACAGCCGATTGCATTGGTGTGAGATATCCCTAGGACCTTGCCTGTTCGGCAGTGTTCTTACTAGAAAACGAGATATGATTGACTCATAGGCTAGATTTTGTATAGCACCTGTATCGGAGCGGTCAAGGTGCTGGACTGGAAAGTCCAGTTTCGAGAGCCGCGTGAATTCGAATCTCACAGGGTGCGTCTTCAATCATTTCCTGTTGCTTTTTTGCTGGGGGTTATTCTCAAGCGTTAAGAATCTCCTTTTCAATCTTGTTGCAAATCTCATTCTTGCATACGAGATATTGTCCCATCCCTGCCTGCACTCTTGGCGGCGTGTTTTTACGTAGGAGTCACTTGTATACTGGATGTCCGGCCGTGTTCCCACTGAAAAGAGATAATGTTACCATTGGTCACATTTAGTGTAGCACCTAAGGGATGAACAAGCCGATACTGGTTGTACGAGATATTGTTACATCATCCTGCCTACGCTCTTGGCACGTAGGTGCCCGTCCGGCCGTGTTCAGACTGAAAAGAGATATGGTTTTGCCATTGCTTATATTCGGTGTAGCACCTTTGTCGGAGCGCTTAAGGAATGGTCCAGAAGTCCAGTTTCGAAAGCTGTGTGAGTTCAGATCTCACAGGGTGTATTGGCGGCTTCCTACAATCACGTTTTGCTTGTGGGTTATTGAAACCGTTAAGCATCACCTTTTCATGTTGCGAATCTCATTGTAGCATATGAGATATTGTCCCATCGTCCTGTCTACACTCTTCGTGGCGTGTGTTGCCCGTCCGACAGTGTTCATACTGAGAAAGATGTATCTATTCGCTCGCGTTGACTTCCGAAAAGCACCTTTGTCGGAAGCGGCTAAGGAGTTGAACTACTGTAAAAATCCAGTTTCTCACAGGGTGCGTGTCCTGTCTCGAATAGACTTTTTGCTTGTGGGTTATTCTCAAGCGTTGAGAACTTCCTTTTCAATATTCTTGCGAATCTCATTGTTGCATACGAGATCATCCTGCCCACACTTTTGGCTGTTTAATGTCTTGCTACCTAGTGTGAAAAGGAACACTTGCGCAAACAAGCCCAGTATTACCGGCAATGTTCATACTGAAAAAGACGTATGCAGTTGCTCACCGCTGCACTTTCTGTAACACCTCAGTCGGAGCGGTCTAAGGAGCTGGCTGCGAAACAGATTATTGTCCATGACGATAAATTCTTTAGAGGTCCAATGCAGAGAGGGCCCACTCGACAAGACTCTAAAATGTATCAAACGCGCATGTCATCCAAGACGCCAAAAAACTGTTTACATCCAACTGCGCAAAAATTGGAATATCACAACCTATCCATTTCCGCACATCCTATTCAACATACGCAGCCAAAACCATGCTATACTTCTAGTTACTCAAATATGCTATACCTTCTCATTGCATCCCAATCTAAAACATAATTACAAAACTCTTGATGCATTCATATATACCCTACCCGTCCAAACCCATATGTCTTTCAGAAGACCGAACCACCATTCAAGGCAAATTGATATGCCGGTACATAGAAAGGAAGAAAGATTGGAGTATTCATACCCCCGTAGTGTAATGGAGATCACGTTGGACTTCTAATCCAAAGATTGCGGGTTCGAGTCCCGCCGGGGGTGTCTGCCAAGTATTTCCAAAAGTTTTTTTGGGGGGTATGCTTTGTATCAGAAAGTGCTCTCACATGCTCAAGGATAGGAATCTATATTCGCACACTATATAGCATGGGTCGAGTATGAATGTTAGCTCCATTGGGTTTTGGATGTTGGTCATTAGGGTGTCCCCCAGCCAGGGACATTCAAAAAGCACTTCGAACATCCTTTGCTGCCATTTTTCATTCATAATCAAAAACCAAGAAGAAATCAAAAAACTATATGCAAATTACAGTAAATGCATCAGCCATTACGACAAACCCTCAAACCCGTCAACAACCTCCAAAACCCTTTTTTTACAAACCGGTTTCGTCAAATAATCATTCATACCCACCTCAAACGCCCGCGAAATTTGGTCTTGTCGTGCATTTCCACTTAACCCCACAATCGGAACCCTTTTGCAATCTTTTTGTTCACGTTCACGTTGACGAATTTCCATTGTACATTCCAATCCTCCCATCCCAGGCATGACTATATCCATAAACACCAAATCGGCTTCCTTATAAACCTCTAATGCTTCAATTCCATTCGACGCAAGCAAGACCCGGTAAAAAGGCGCCAAGAACCTGTACATGATTTTCTGGTTAAGAATGTTATCTTCTACGACCAACACTGTTTGAATCGAACGAGGGGTATGCAGGAGGGGTTGTGGCGGTGGAGGTGGTGTGCATTCAGCAGGCGGGCCAGAGAATGTAAACGAAAAGCTACTACCAGCGTGTTTGGTAGACGAGACGGAAATGGTTCCGCCCATCAGTTCCACCATGCCTTTGGAGAGGTACAGCCCAAGACCTGAGCCGCCGTAGGTGTCCGGGTGGGTACTAGTCGGTTGAGCAAACCGTTGAAACAACATGGCAAGTTCCGGTTCTGTTAGGCCGATGCCAGTGTCTTGGACTGTGACGCGGTAGGTGATGGAAGTGGGTGTACGGGAGATGAGGAAGAGGGAGAGGGTGATGCTGCCTCTTTGGGTGAATTTTATAGCGTTGGCCATGAGATTGATGACGATTTGCGAGAGACGGTGAGGGTCGCCGGTGATGGGGAGAGAGGAGATGGAGAGGTTAACACGGAGGTCGAGGCCTTGTCGAGTTGCTTGCGCTTCAAACATTTTTGCAACATCTGAAAGCGTTGTTTTTGGGTCAAAGGGAATAGCGCGGAGAACCAGTTTGCCGAGTTCTAGTTTGGATATATTAAGGACGTCGTCTGTGATGATTTTTTGGTGCGCGACGCATTTGGAGATGGCGTCGATCGAGTCTTGATCGAGGTCCAGCTGGTGTTGAAGAGTGCGCACATCGTCGAGGGCCAACGGGTTTTTGGCGAGCGTGGTGCGCCGCACTTGAAGGCCCATTTCAAGGAGCTCTACGTTGCCGCTGATGCCGTTGAGCGGGTTACGGAGTTCATGACATAAGCTGTCGATCCATTGATCTTGGTCCTTTTTGTAGCGTTCGGCTTCTTCGGCGCGATGGCGCTGGTGCTTTTCAGCGGCATTTCGTGCCTCTAGGCGATCCCTTTCGAGGACTTTGAGAGCGGAAATGTCGAGAATAGTATGAACGTAGCCGCGGAGGTTCCCGCTTTCGTCACGGTTGGCGGCCGTTTGACCTGCGACCCATACAATGGATCCATCCGCGTGGATAAAGCGATACTCGTGGTTCCCGGTATCAATGTCAGCGCAAGTGTCGCAGGGGGAAAAGGGCCATGTGGAGAGATCCTTCCGGTCCTCGGGATGAACAGCGTCGACCCATCCATTAATGCGAATCTCTGTTCGCGTTCGTCCAACAATTTCGCAGAAGCGGTTATTGATAAAGTAATCGTCCTCATCTCCAAATGCCGTGCCATAAACACCTACTGGGAGAATGGACAAGAGAGTCCGATATTGGTCCCGTTCGCGACAGAGGGCTTCTTGAGCATGGTCCGAGAGGAGCTTTAGGGAATTATGGAGGGCTGCTTCGGCGGCTTTGCGGCGTTCAATCTCATTCTCGAGAGCTTTGGCCTTTTGTTGGAGCTGGGCCACCATGAGGGCCTGGTCGTCGGGTTTATCATGAAGATCTGCGTAGCCTTCCGAGGGTGTGACTTTTGAATGGGTATGGCACACCTTGTGAAAGACGTCGCGATGGGACTGGTCGCGGAAATTGTTAAGATTATAACCGCAGAGCAGCGTAAACGAGACGAGGTTCTGCAAGCCGTTCCAGAGTTGCTCGAGTTCCACTGCCAATTGATAGTCGCCGCGGGAGGCGAGAATATCTACAATCTCTCCATACACATAGACGCGACCATGAAATTGGCGAGACAGACGGCGGGCCAATGTCCCGACAAAGTCGTCGAACTTTGCTGCAGAGATTTGCTTTTGTTCGCGTTGTTCAAGGACGCCTAGGATTTCATGAGCGTCCAGCAGTGTCAATTGACCACGTCGCTTTCTAGCCTCCAAATCCAAGCCCCTCGCCTGCAATCTGTGTTCAATGGCTTCCAGGTGCGATTTTGTGGCAATAATGACAGCGGCTTCACGGGCTATGAGAGCGGGCGCCACGAATCCGACAATGACATTGAACAAAAATTCTTCAGTGTCGTAAAACTGGACAATGTGATCATGGTCTTTACAGGCCGAGAGCTTTTGGATGCCTATGGCATCCTCATAGGCCGGTAAACTTTCGTATTCTGATGATCCTACCGAAGAGGCATCGGAGACTGTGTCCTCGTTTGCCGTGATTGCTTCCGCTCTGACGGGTCGAGCAGTTACAGGGGGAAGGGCAAAGACAGGCAATGCGTTTTGGCTCTGTGTCATGGCTATCGTCGAGAAAGAATCACTGGCGATTTGAACGCCGCGTTCAAATGAGCAAAGAGACCAAACGGATGCTTGTTGTTTTTCTTTACAAGTATCTCGCCAGGACCGAACTCGCGTGTTCCATTCCAATTATTGAACAAAAAGGGCGAAGTTTCGCCGAATGTCCGGAGGTTCCTCGCGCTTGCGACTATTTCAAATGTTGGCGTACACTCTTGTGATATGGATAGTAAACCTGTAAACCACAATAGCATTTGTAAGCCAGTTTCATTTCCAAACACTAAAAATAGAGTACCCTCGCTCCAAAAACGAGCCCATCCTTCAGAACCGAACCCAAGAAGCACCACTGCCACAACGACAATCCACTAGACATGCGTCTGGACATTCGCTTCGCACGGCACATGCACAGTCAATGTGCCAGGACATTCCTCCATTTGACCCTCAAACAAAAAGGAAGCCCTCCGCGGTCAGCTCTTGTCCAGACGCTTGCGTTTGTCCTTGCTTCTCAACAAGACCCATTGCTGATAAAGAGTCCCTTCCGTTCAAAGTCCCCCAACGCCCATATCCTGAATCCATGAAATGAATAGCTTACCAAGATCCGTTTTATATTCGTATCTCAAAAAAAAAAAAAAGTACCCCCGAAACTATCCGAAAACAAAAACAGAAAAGTGTGAAAAAGCCGGTGGGACAGAAAAGATGACATCATTTCCCAAAGTGCCATGACCATGGTTAGACAACTGCATTTGTCAGCATATAGTAGCGTCTGAGTAAGCGAACTCGTATTTACTGGACAAGTGGTTTGCAAACCCGTATAATTGACAATGTCCAATGTACCCGTTTGATCCATATGCCTTCCCTTGATCTGTCAGATTTCTCTCGTCGTCGGATTGTGATGCATTACTGTCTGATAATCTCTCCACAGCTGGGAACGTCTTCGCTTCAATCATTGGCCTCAGTGCTGTGAATGGGTGAAATACGTGCGATACAAGTAACAGTAAGCAGAGTGTGAAATGGAATGTGTATCATTACGACAGAAAGTGTGTGTGTCAAAGGCAAACATTTATGCTCACATTGGAAGGATATAAGAACAAATCGTCTACTTTGCGCAGCAATTCTAGTCCCATCCCTCCAATCATTAATAACGATTATCGTTCTGACAGTATGTCATAAGACACGAGCAGTCTATTGGGCAAACAAACAGTAATTGGAGGTGGGAGTGTCTAGTACTTACTCGTATCCACAAGTCATCTCACACGCATCGCATCATCATCTCTAGGTTTAAGCTTGGTAGCTGAACCGTAGCATCATTATTGTGACAAACATCTACCGTGACAAACACCGATTGTTAGGAGTTGCAAATGCCTTGAAAGGACCCATTGAGGATAATTACTAAATATTCAACAGTGGTACTATTCCAAACGATATTGAAGAGTTGAAAATTCATATATTAAGATTGCTACAATACATCCAATAAATCTATTCTATCCAATGTAATGCATGGGAAGCGGCCGGTCTCTTCGAGTCGAGAATCTAGAGGAATATCAGATGAGAACGACCAAGTGTGTAAAGAGTAATGCGACCTTACCCGAGTCGGGGTAGCAATGATCTGTGATTAAATCTTCTTCGTCTTGTCCGAGTCTTGAGAAATCTAGAGGAATATGAGATCGGACTGTCGAGCAAGTGTGAAAAGAGCAACGCGACCTTACCCGAGTCGGGGGCAGCAATAATCTGTGATTGAATCTTCGTCTTGTCCGAGTCTTGATCCGTCGCGTCGCAGAAAAAGGTACACTGCTACCGTCACAGAAAGATAGCCGCTCCATCGCTGAAGGAAGTTCCCTCGCGTAACTCTCGCGAAAGGGAGACTGGCCCCGGAGGTAACTGCATGCAGCCACGCGCTGAGAGAGGGTGGTACACTGCTATCGCCACAGACAGATAGCAGCTCCATCGCTGAAGGAAGTTCCCTCGCGTAACTCTCGCGAAATGGGGACTGGCCCCGGAGGTAACTGCATGCAGCCACGCGCTGAGAGAGGGTGGACACTGCTATCGCCACAGACAGATAGCAGCTCCATCGCTGAAGGAAGTTCCCTCGCGTAACTCTCGCGAAATGGGGACTGGCCCCGGAGGTAACTGCATACAGCCACGCGCTGAGAGAGGACCACTGCTACCGTCACAGACAGATAGCAGCTGCCAAGAGGGATGCCGAACTCGTTGTAAAGAAACGCGTTGGGGGAAAGCGAACACGCACGGTTTATAAAGGACTCGAAGCCAGGGGTAATGAGCTCTTGAGCAGCCAATCAAATACGCGCATGCGCCATGGCTTATCCAAGGTTGATTAGACCACATATGTACTAATGACTGACATCGACCAACACTTACCGTGCGGAGGTCACCATATCCAATGGCAAATGACCAACTTGCTCAAGATGCAATGACAATGGGCATTGTGCTCATACTAGCCTACTCCTATCTAACCCAATCGGAGTGTCAACTTCTGTACTAAAAGTCATGGTGTTAGGAACAGCACACAGCGGTTAACACAGCGGTTTGAATTTAATATATTTGTACTGTAATTTCTTCCATTGTGGGTTCGTTGTGGTTGCATTCATTCAATGCACTATTTCATAGCAATTGCTAAAGCGGCATGGCCATGCCATCAAACCCGGTTTAACGCGTGCGCTGCTGTGTTTCTGCTGTGTACCGGTTATCTGTCCATTCACATACTCGATACTAGTTGTAAGAACAAATCGTCTACTTTACACAGGCAATTCTAGTCCCATCCCTCCAATCATAAATAACGAATATCGTGCTGACAGTACGTCATATGACACGAGCAGTCTATTGGGCAAACAAACAGGAATCGGAGCATACAACTAGTACCGACTATTTCATCAGACAGATAACGGGAACACAGCAGAAACACTTGTCCGATGAAAAACTCGATACTAGTTATATAACGGTGGGAGTGTCTAGTACGTACTCGTATCCCCAAGTCACATCACACGCATCGTATGATCATCTCCGATTGTTGAGTTGCAAACATATTCAACTTGGGTACTATTCCAAACGACATTTAAGAGTTGAGAATTCATATATTAAGATATTTATAATACATCCATTTCTATCTAATGTACAAGAACTCCTGTGGGCGCGGGCCGGTCTCTTGATATTGGGCTGATCCTGGATAATCTAATGGAATATGAGATCAAACTGTCGGTCAAGTGTGTAAAGAGCAACAATGCGACCTTACCCGAGTCGAGGAGCAAATCTGTGATTCGTCTTGTGCACTCGAGTCTTGAGCATCTAGAGAAATGACAAAAGGACATCGGCGGATCCCTCAAAAAGTAGAACAAAAAGTGGAACTGCTCCAGCTCGGCGCAAAAGTGGGACAGTCCGGCGCAAAAGTGGAGCTGCTACCGCCACAGACAGATAGCAGCTCAGCGCAAAAGTGGGACTGTCCGGCGCAAAAGTGGAGCTGGCAAGCAGTTCGGCGCAAAATGGGACCCGGCGCAAAAAGTGGAACTGCTCCAGCTCGGCGCAAAAGTGGGACAGTCCGGCGCAAAAGTGGAGCTGAAAAGCAGTTCGGCGCAAAAAGTGGAACTGCTCCAGCTCGGCGCAAAAGTGGGACTGTCCGGCGCAAAAGTGGAGCTGAAAAGCAGTTCGGCGCAAAAAGTGGAACTGCTCCAGCTCGGCGCAAAAGTGGGACAGTCCGGCGCAAAAGTGGAGCTGCTACCGCCACAGACAGATAGCAGCTCGGCGCAAAAGTGGGACTGTCCGGCGCAAAAGTGGAGCTGAAAAGCAGTTCGGCGCAAAAAGTGGAACTGCTCCAGCTCGGCGCAAAAGTGGGACAGTCCGGCGCAAAAGTGGAGCTGCTACCGCCACAGACAGATAGCAGCTCGGCGCAAAAGTGGAGCTGAAAAGCAGTTCGGCGCAAAAAGTGGAACTGCTCCAGCTCGGCGCAAAAGTGGGACTGTCCGGCGCAAAAGTGGAGCTGAAAAGCAGTTCGGCGCAAAATGGGATCCGGCGCAAAAAGTGGACCACTGCTACCGTCACAGACAGATAGCAGCTGCCAGTGGACCACTGCTACCGTCACAGACAGATAGCAGCTGTCAAGAGGGATGCCGAAACCGATGTGAAGAAACGCGTTGGGGGGAACGCGGACGGGCACGGTTTATGAAGGCCAGAAGCTAGGGGTAAATAGGTGCGCAGCCAGGGGCAGCCAATCAAACACGCGCATGCGCCATGGCTTTTCCAAGATTGATTAGACCATTTATGGACTAATGGTTTTGATTAGACCATATATGTACTGTTATTCCCCCACCACCAACTTCAGAAAACAAGGCGGAAATCATCACCAATTCCAATGGTGATGACCAACTTGCTCAATATGCAAGGAAAGTGGGCATTGGGTTCATGATGGCCCACTCCTATTCAACGCAATCTGACGTCAACTCCTATACTCAAAGTCATGTTGTAAAACTTACTCGAAGACGTGAATTCATCGAACCCACACCAATCATGGAACTATACTGCTTGTCCTGGGGCATCCTCTCATCAAATAGGATTATGACACTCGATTCAATGGAGACGATCCGGTCTCAAGGGGAATGCCTATTCAGCTGCACCAAGCTTTCTGTCATGGTCGCTTATATAGAACAACATCCGAATCCTTCATCAGGGATGCTCAAACAAATAAATTGTTATTCGGCTCGGACATCCCAGGATGGGTTCCCAGACGCTCAAGCGAACAAGGAAAAAAAAACGATCTAGTCTAAAAGTTCATCTACCGTCACTAAATCATAAGTCTTGCGTGGACTGTCACTATGGCAAGGAGCTCTTCAATAATACAAGCTAAATCCCGGCAGAGAAGTCTTACAGTGCATCGATACCAGCACAACCGTGATAGACATAATTTTTCCTGGTAATTATTTTCTAACATTCATGTCAAGAACTCACCATACATATTATTGTTATGTAGCAAATCAAAATAAACTATTAGACTATCACCAAATAGCGACAATACAAAGGCGTTCCTAGAAGGTTAGCATACTAAGAAGATAAAGGTAGGGAAAATATTAAGTAACCCTTTAGTCAACAAACTAGGTAAGATGGAATATCCGTACAAAAGACGCAACCTTTCACCCCGCACCAAAATATCGTCACCTATTGGTATAATCAGACCATCAGCAATCAAACACAGGCAATTATGCATAGACGTACATGTATCAAGAGCCCACTCAGATCGTAAGAAGATATCCGCTATTCCACCCGACTCAAACTTTGGATCTGCCGTATCTAGCGTTTCTCAAAGGCTTTGTTATCTCAAGACTACTGCAATGGCAGACAAAATATCAACGTGTCCGATCATGTCCGAAACCAACCGCCCGTCAGGTGAGTGGCGCGTTGACCACGATCATAGCTATGGTAAGCATGACTTCGACGACAGCCATCGGACATACCTGGGACTTGTCCCTCAAACCGACACGCCGGACATGGAGAAACCAGTTTAAAAGAGTAACACGCAGCAATTGCATGTGAATTTAGTAGAAGCAGATTGTGTACCGTGGATTACCGGAAGGATCCAGCAGACCAACTCGGACGAATGGCTCAATGCTCCGAAGAAAAAACAAAACCCAACATGGATGGCACAGTTGTGCTATCGTAAAACATGGGACCGGGGTCAATGGCCATCAATGCCCAACCGTCGTAGAAGACTGCAATGCCAAATTAACTTCCTTTGACCCCATTGCATCCGTGTCAGCCAGAATGGTAACCAATTGCCGTTATCTTTCAAAATTGGAAGGTGCGTATACAGCTGAGGCATGAGTAGATGATACATGTCCTGAGCGACAGCAATAAAAATCATTCCACCCATTGAGACACCAACGAATAAAACATCTTTTGTCCACCCAGAGTGTTGCTACAAGTTCGTGCGCATTTTCAGTCATATCCATGACCTAGGCGTGCCCATGAGATCACATGCATGATGGTATAATTGCAAGAGCGGGGACACTAACGAGAAACCCGGTTCAGGCTGATTGGAGTGTCCTGTACCGCGATTATCAAAGATACAGACTTGGTATCCGTTTCGGGCCAAAAGTTGTCGAACAGTAGTGTCCCACGCGCGCATGTCTCCCAATAGACCTGCGCCAATATGGTTTTTGAACATTGCATGCTCAAGGACGGTCTATCTGTGTATGATTTCATATAGGAATATACCCATGACTAGCATTTATTGGGACCCCACCCGTGCAATTCATAACAGATTTGGTACGGACGTCGTACTTTCAAAGCCCCTACTCGTCATAAAAATAGAAATCCTACCGAGGGAAAAGATATAGATCCCAATCATCGACATAAACACAAACTAGCGGGTCTGTACCCGTCGGTAGTGAACACCAATATGAATTCCAATTTCTTCAAATTGAAGCGCATCGTAATTGGCTCTCCCGCAACCTTTGCCGCATAAGGCCGAATGACCGCGTCCAAAGCTCTTCCCCCTATATGATGATGATGGTTGTGATCACCTTTGCTGAAATACACGTCCGTAATATCAAAAGGAGTGATCAGAGTACGTGGCGAAGGGGGTGGACTACAGTCGTGACATACATGCATCCACCCAAGCACAAAAAAAAAACTTGTTCCAGCTCTCTTCACCATAGTCCATGTACCACTGGCGCTGATCTACAATACCACAACTTTGCCGTAGTCTCTGTGGCCGTAAACCTAGGTTCCACGCCCACAATAACGTAACGCGCTATCGCATCCCACGACCCATCTTTGCACGCCTTTTTAAATAGTCCCATGTGACCAACGTCCTTAGCACCTAGCTCTTTGGGTTCTACGTAATAAGACCGCACCTTGGCATTCGGCATTAAAGTAAACCACTCATCAAACGCTTACCTTGAGGCAGAAGAGTATGATCGACCAGATTGTAAACCTGCCTGTGACATATTTCCGGTTGACAAAAGTCCTTTTGTATCGCTTGAAGCAGTACCAAGCCGTGGGGGCTCAGGTTCCTCTTCTCTGCAAGGAGGTAGTTTGGGCCATGCCCCGTCGCCGGGGGACGCTGACTCTGTATGTGCTGCCAGCGCACAAGTGGTTATGCGAGTGTTTCCTGTATGGGTGGTTCATAGGTCGATGATATGATTGCAAGGTTGCCATCGGTAGAATATAATCGGCTTGACACGTCAGTGTCTATAGACGGTCTTTATAAGGGGTTTCGCCCCATTTGGCCTTCCGTCATTGTTCGTCCACATATTTGCATTATATCCGAGACAGTCCCTGCACCACACTACTCCATCCATAAACAAGAAGCATCACTCTAATCGCCAGTACGATGCTTCTCCCATTCACAAAAGTAACCTTCTTTGATGTAGCTGCCGTAGAATTGCACATCATAGCGCGAATCGCAGCCATTCATGATGCTACTTTCTGTCACAGTGTCATCTAGGACATTTTCCACTAGGACTAACACAGTCCATACTTTTTACATTTGTATTTGGTCACCGCCGATGTAAGTTCTAGCTAGCATGGCGAGTCGGATGGGAAGACATTTCGTTCTCAGAGCCTACCACCTCATGTGTATTATTTTACGAGTAAAAATACACAATTCTAAGCCTCTTTTCGTTCTGATACCTCCCATGGTACTCCACATTCGCTTCCCCCCTCTTCACCAACACATCAAAATCCACACACACATACCCCTCCCAGAGCCTTTTAGCCACCCCTAGCGCCTCACGCACATCTCCAGTCTCATCTTCTCCATCCACAAACGCCAGATCCAAAATATCTGGAATCATGGGGGCCATGATAGGCGTATTCGAGAGGTGCTGTAGAATATGGAGGACAGTTAATGCTCGAGCGGTATGAGTTGCGTCATGGTACCCAACAACGAGATCAGTGGTAATGTTTGAGAGAGCGGTTTGGGGGATTGTTGTGATATACTCGCCCGTTCCGGGAGGCAACTAGGATAATGAACTTTATAAGACCGTCATACGCATGCAAACCCAGGAATGGTTGAATATTGTGGCGAGTAAAAAGAAGGAAAGATTGTCTTTTCAAAACAAAACAAGACAAAAACAAAGCTAACTAGACAAAAACAAAACAAGACAAAAACAAAGCTAACTAGACATAAACCCCCTCCACGTAGAACCTCTCGCGTAAAAGTTTGATCTGACTGGTAGTTCCATAAGCGAAAAATGATTCCCCAGCAAATATTTTAGCCGGCATGCGAAAGGTTGTTTGAAGGTGAACGCATATCTTGGCGGCCTTCGAAGGGACGTTGGAACGCGGTTGTCGAAACATAAAAAAATTCTTCTGTTGGAGCCGGCGAGCACTAGTTTATGCCATTGCGGCACAACTGCATCAACTATTGTCTTATATTTGTCATCTGGAACGGTCTCGGTTTGTACTGCTTGGTCCTCTGTACTCTTTGGTTCTTGAATGTCGTGGGCTCCGTCATTAGTACCTCCGTCACTTTGTCTGCGTTTCTGTCCTTCTTGATACATTGTGCCGCCGGCTTCGGCTCCATCAACGGTGGAGGTGGAAATGGGGTTGGGGTTGTAGGAGGTGTCTTTGTCTGCAACATCCCCACGCTCTTGCATATGCTTTTGGCCAGCCAAAAAAAAGAGCACCATTTCTCCTAACCGCTTCTTATTTGCATGATTCTGAAATATAAAAGTAAGTTCATGGTTCACACATACAGCAGCACAGAATGACTTACGTTTTTTTTGATTCCTGTTAGCTTTTCTAAACCGTGTTGTTTGAGGTATTGCAATAATTCATCAAACTGGGCAGAGTGCACGTCCTCAACAGCAGTGTTCGCATCAAACATGGTTGCAAGAGAGCAAGAGAAGCAAACGTTAAAGTGAGTTCTGGAGTACGAGAAAGCTTTGTGTGTGGGGGGGAGAGGCGGAATCGACCTGCTTAAATACATCGCGTAGCAAGGGGGAAAAAGGAGGTAAGAAATTGTAAATTGGACTTGTCCGAATCAACACACGCTCACCTTATACTTGAATCATTTAGTTTGGCGGCAGAAATCAGATACGTTCGGACAAAACGTGCAAGTGAGCTTAGTTGAGCCATAAACACAGCGGAGAAGGACGAACTACTCACCGCATCTGGTTCATGTAAGCGAGATACCAAAACCCAAAGTACATCAAACACATTATGGAAACGAGCGGCGCGATTGTCATGTACGTCACTCCAACAGTCGCAATGAAGGAATGGCTCGCCATGGGGACGCCCGATAAGTACACCAGTGGTTGGGATTGCCTCCAAATGGCCCGAGGAGTACTCGCGAGAAACCTCAGCTTCAATGGCTTTAAAATCAGGTTCGCAATCTGGAGCAATTCACCAGCTGGACCAGAAAGGGCCAAGAGAATTACGTAGTTGACGAAGAAGGTTGAAACGCCGGGGATACTGCGGGCCAGGATCTCAAAGACTGCTGTCGGATTGTCTATGATGGTTTGTATCGTCTGGAAAACGGACCCAGAAATCGTGACGATCAATAGGACGTTGAAAACGAGAAAAGCCCCACCGTTGGATATGCGGCATACAATGGCGGGGCGCTTGGCTCTTTGTGTCGCCGGGCTTCCCATAGGGTTTCATTCCATTGTCAGAATGGTTATTGGGAGAATTTGGAACACCCGGTTTGAAAGTTCCCGTTAGTCTCTTTATCAGTGGGAGGTGATCGTCATCAGATTCCCTTTTGATGGTCGTAACATTAATGGCCGATGACGTGACGCTCCCATAGATGACTGGGGATCACGAGAGTCCGGTAGCAGTACTCCACTTTTTGCGGGATTCGTCCCTACCACTTGAGCTGCTATCTGTCTGTGACGGTAGCAGTGCTCCACTTTTTGCGGGATTCGTCCCTACCACTTGAGCTGCTATCTGTCTGTGACGGTATCAGTGCTCCACTTTGTGCGAGATCCGTCCCTACCACTTGAGCTACTATCTGTCTGTGGCGGTAGTAGTGCTCCACTCTTTGCAGGATCCGTCCCTACCACTTGAGCTACTATGCGGTGATCCACTCTTTGCGGGATCCGTCCCTACCACTTGAGCTGCTATCTGTCTGTGGCGGTAGTAGTGCTCCACTGTGTGCGAGATCCGTTCCTACCACTTGACCTACTATGCGGTGATCCACTCTTTGCGGGATCCGTCCCTACCACTTGAGCTGCTATCTGTCTGTGGCGGTAGTAGTGCTCCACTTTGTGCGGGATCCGTTCCTACCACTTGAGCTGCTATGCAGTGCTCCACTTTTTGAGGGATCCGTCCATACCACTTGAGCTACTATGCGGTGATCCACTCTTGGCGGGATCCGTCCCTACCACTTGAGCTACTATGCTGGTGATCCACTGTTTGCGGGATCGGTCCCCACTTGGAGCTGCTATCTGTCTGTGGCGGTTGCTGGGCGAATGTAGGGGCGAGAGTAGGTGGGTCCCTTCCTGTTATGTAGCGATTCATGAAGCGGCTGATGCGGAAGGTTAGTGTTAGAATGTGTCGTATCATCCGTACATGTTCCTTTTGTTTAGTCAGATTGAAACTCCGAAATACCTAGGCGATTTGGTAAGCGCAGACCTTGAA